AATGGTAATCAAATTTTCTACATGTCCATGCTATTTATAGTCAATAATCAAAAATTGGTGATAATTATTCTGTAATTTATTATGTAATGTTACATCAAAATTGACAAAAATCTTTTTGCACTGCTACTACAAACATTATGAAAAGAAAACTATGTTACTTATTATTATTTTCAACTTACAAGTATGATTTGTAGGATTGGCATGCAGTTCAAATTAGAAAGCCAGCTCAATTGGGTTATCATTTATTATTGAATTTATGCAATTTTGTGTGAAATTTTCAATTTCTTCATTCTGGCATTTTCAAAGTGTGAACTTAAACTCCCATGGGCCTGAAGCCTTATGCTTGTTACACATTTCACTTACATTGGTATTACCTGTTGAGCATAATTAAAATTTGATGTTGAATTTGCAGTTACACATAATGTACTTTTGCATCAGAATTGACAGTAGCCTGTTTTGTGCATTGTTATTGTCTGCTTTTTGTCTGTACATTTGACAGCTTTGCTGCCTTGTTTGTTCTATGTAGAATGATCCATCTCCCTGGGACACTTGCTGAATGCAATCAGATTATCAAGCGGTATATCATTATACAATTTGTATTGATACACTTTGAGATGTTGAGGACCATAAAACTTACCTATTGTGTTGGAGAGTCCTTAAACAGGGTTTGTCATATGCAGTGTAATCTGGTAGTAATCTTTCATTCTTGGTTTTTTGTGAGATGTTTAAAGGGACTTTAATTAAGGAGTAGAGTTCTCCTTTTCACTTATTGATCTTTAGCATTCTTTGTCCCTGTTCTCCCGTTTCTTTAACAGTACTCTATCACTCATTATGAACTACACATAATTGACAGATATTAACCTTTAAGGAATCTTTAACCCAATAGTAAATACTCTATATATCCCCGTCTTCTATATTTAAGGGTACCACCATTCCATCCCATGTGATATTTAGTCAGGATGGACAGATACTGACCATAGAAGAGGCAACGGAGACTGACAGTGGCAGCTATGAGTGTACTGCAGCCAATGGTGTCGGTTTCCCAGCTGTTAAGACTGTCATTGTCAATGTCCAGTGTAAGTTTGAATATGAACTGTCCTTAAAATTATTAATGCCCAACAGGCCTGTAGCCAACAGTTTGAAAGGGGCATCTTTTCTTGAAAAAGTGGAACTTTTTTACTTCCGTAGTAGACCCAACTTGAGACAACCTGGATCAACTTTTGATTCATAGTGGACCATTTCAGGCCAAAAGGGCAGTTCTTTTGAACCCTCTCCCCCTCCCTACAGGCCTGTCCAGTGTGAACTATTCTGCACTGTCCTTAAAGATTACTATATGTCCAGTACAAGTTATTCTGAATTGACTTTTAATATTTCAGTTTGCCTAGTAGTTTAAGCTACATGTATATGCACTTCTGTCATTGAAAATTGTTACCATACTCATGCTGCTGCATTGATCCAAGTATAACATCCTTATTCACCGGCCTTTGTTGGGGTATATAATTTTGTCATTATTGAAATAGAAAAAGAAATTGCAGATGATCCATTTCAGGGCCCGTCTGAAGCCGCCCTAGTATTATAATTAGTAGTAGAGTGGCCTTTCTATGTGCATTTTTATGTCTATATCTTTTACAGTTCCACCAGAGATAGTGTTTATCAACAAGTCTCAGGTGCACACAGGGACAACGAGACCCCTGCTTCTGCAGTGTGGAACCAAAGGGTCACCTGTGCCAGGTGAGTGAACAACACTATGACCTCTTCCACTCTGATATGATATGAAGATTCTAGCTCTTTGTTTAAAGAGTCATTTCAACTAAGCAAATAAATATCAGTTGAGGATTACTATGGAATTTTTTTCTCCATATTCAAACAGAACTGGTTAGTTGTTTTCACCATTACAACGATATCTACAGCAGATGATTTGAAATTTCCCATATTGAGATGGGGCTATATCAAAAATCGTGTTTTACATAAGGAAGATTACTATCATGAAAATTTTAAAAACATGGGGACGATTTTGAAAATGGATAATCAGAGTATGTTTTTGAGACCCAGCATCATATAATTTTACAGAAATAAAATGGCACCTCCATGGTGAAAGCATTCCCACCCATTTTCAAGTAGACACAGCTAATGTTAACCAGCAGTACCTGTCCACACTTCGAGTGGAGTCTCTGCGGGGAACAGATCTCGGGGAGTACAAGTGTACAGCCAAGAATGCCTTGGGAGAGGCTGAGGCAATTGTAATTGTGACAGGTTTGTGGGGAAGAAATAGTATATTGTGCTTTATAATGTACTGACTTTTAATGAAAAGAAAAGAAACATTGTTAAGGGCGTTTAATTTTAAATGCTTATAACATATGGAAATTCTTCAAATGTTGAATTTTGGATAAGACAGTTTAGAAGTCAAGTTTTCAATATGGCAATTTGAGGGCTGTCATAGTGTTAGACATTGTCCAATTGCTCAAGGAATTTGAGCCTTAATGAAAACATTTTATTATTTTAGACAGTTTTCTTTTTCATTGGATTCATGACAGATTAAGCATCTCAATACTTATATTCAGGAGAACCAGAGAATGTGACCATTACCAGTAACCCAGAGGGTCCCTTCTCTAATGAGTTTACATTGACATGGACTATAAAAGAATATGAACCAACTATTGAATATAAACTCAAACTTAGGACAGTAAGTTTAAAGCCACTTTTTTCAGATGTACAATGAAAACTTTTTTATTTGCATAACAGTGAAGATTTACAAAGAGTGCTTTGATTTTGTTTATTTGTAAAATGAATGTATATTTATTTCCTTTAGATATTTATGATGATATTGAGATTTCAAGCAACTTAATTTGATTTGACAGTCTGTCAAATAAAACATAAGTAATGTGTTATTTATTTGTATAACAGACCTAGTGTTCTCATTTTGAATGATATACTACCAATTTTATCTTTCATTCAAATTCTATCAGTATGTCTCCCTGCCCACAGTGTGCCTCCTGTGGATCACCACAACCACCTGTCATCCGAACTGTATAAGATACTGTATTAAATGTTACTGCAGTACATGTACACGTTTTGCAGACTATTTTGATTGAATTAGTTAAGTGTGTGTGTGTCTGACCATTCTTTTATTGTATTTTTCCTTTCCAGGTAAATGGTACAGAGGCAGGCCCCTGGGTGAATAGCTCCATCCCTGCCAAGTCTGAAGAGGGCTCCATTGAGCAGCAGCAGTCCTTCACCCTGGAGGGTTTAGAGCCCCTGATGGTGTACCAGGTGGAACTGGTAGCCAGGAATAAGTTCGGGGAAAGTGGAGTTGTGGAATTTACTTTTAAAACAGCAGAAGGTATGTAAGGATGTTGTAGCCAGTTGAAGTCGGTCTGATATGGGAGCATGAGCATTCTGCACTCTCTCTCTTTTTCTCTCTCTCATTCTCTCACTCTCTCTCTCTCTCACACACACACACACACACACACACACACACACACACACACACAGGGGTTTGAAGGCCTAAAAATTGCAGTAATTTGCATGCACAGTCAAATGCAGTTGCATGCACACATATGTACACAGAAAGGTTTGTAGTCCTTATATTTTAATTAACAGGATACGAAGTCGAGGTCAAAATGGGATGTTGTACACAAAATCAAAGGACACACAATTGAAAGAAGGGAGGGAAATACTTTCTTGGTCATAACTCTGTTAGGTATAATTATAATTACTTCTGTGTGTTTCAACCTTCTCAAAAATTACTTTGATTCACAGCTGGCAAAGTCCGTCCTTCAACCACAATGTCAACAACAACGACAACAACAATGCCACCACCAACTACAACAACAGAGATGTTACAAGGAAGCGGCTCGGGGAAGGAGGACACCAACCGTAAGTATAATTGGCTAGCATTTGAATTGAGTGTGTTCTTATGATAGAGTAGCCTTTATGAAAAGTAGTAGTTGTAGAAATGACTTAGTTGTAGAAATAATTGCATGTTTTTGTAACATATGATGCTAAATACTAAAGATGAGTAGATAAATGATTACTTGATAGTGGTAGCATGGCTTGGTATTTATGTACAATTTTCCTTCTTTAGTCCCCAACTCCTTTATTCTCCTGTCTTTTCGTTGTGGAGTCAGCATTAGTTATATACAGATCTCACACAGAGGAGGCACTACAGTCACTTACGACTGAGAAATGACACAACATTGTTGTTGTTTCAAATTTTTATAATGGGAATTTTTAGGGTGTGCTGATTTNTATACAATTTGTATTGATACACTTTGAGAAGTTGAGGACTATAAAACTTGCCTATTGTGTTGGAGAGTTCTTAAACAGGGTTTGTCATATGCAGTGTAATCCTGTATTAATCTTTCATTCAAGGTTTTTTGTGAGATGTTAAAAGGTAGTTTAATTAAGGAGGAGAGTTCTCCTTTTCACTTTTTGATCTTTAGCATTCTTTGTCCCTGTTCTCCCATTTCTTTAACAGTACCCTATCACTCATTATGAATTTCACATTTATTGACAGATATTAAGCTTTTAGGAATCTATAACCCAATACTAAATACTCGATATATCCCCATCTTCTATATTTAAGGGTACCACCATTCCATCCCATGTGATATTTAGTCAGGATGGACAGATACTGACCATAGACGAGGCTACGGAGACTGACAGTGGCAGCTATGAGTGTACTGCAGCCAATGGTGTCGGTTTCCCAGCTGTTAAGACTGTTATTGTCAATGTCCAGTGTAAGTTCTAATCTGAACTGTCCTTAAAATTATTAATGCCCAACAGGCCTGTAGCCAACATGTTGAAAAGGTGCATCTTTTCTTGAAAAAGTGGACCTTTTTTACTTCCGTAGTAGACCCAACTTGAGACAACCTGGATCAACTTTTGATTCATAGTGGACCATTTCAGGCCAAAAGGGCAGTTCTTTTGAACCCTCTCCCCCTCCCTACAGGCCTGTCCAGTGTGAACTATTCTGCACTGTCCTTAAAGATTGCTATATGTCCAGTACAAGTTATTCTGAATTGACTTTTAATATTTCAATTTGCCTAGTAGTGCAAGCTACATGTTTATACACTCTTCTGTCATTGAAAATTGTTAGCATACTCATGCTGCTGCATTGATCCAAGTATAACATCCTTATTCACCGGCCCTTTGTTGGGGTATATAATTTTGTCATTATTGAAATAGAAAAAGAAATTGCAGATGATCCATTTCAGGGCCCGGCTGAAGCCGCCGTAGTATTATAATTAGTAGTAGAGTGGCCTTTCTATGTGCATTTTTATGTCTATATCTTTTACAGTTCCACCAGAGATAGTGTTTATCAACAAGTCTCAGGTGCACACAGGGACAACGAGACCCCTGCTTCTGCAGTGTGGAACCAAAGGGTCACCTGTGCCAGGTGAGTGAACAACACTATGACCTCTTTTACTCTGATATGATATGATATTAAGATTCTAGCTCTTTGTTTAAAGAGTCATTTCAACTAAGCAAATAAATATCAGTTGAAGATTACTATGGCATTTTTTTCTCCATATTCAAACAGAACTGGTTAGTTGTTTTCACCAATACAACGATATCTACAGCAGATGATTTGAAATTTCCAATAGTGAGATGGGGCTATATCAAAAATCGTGTTTTACATAAGGAAGATTACTATCGTGAAAATTTTAAAAACGTGGGGACGATTTTGAATATGGATAATCAGAGTATGTTTTTGAGACCCAGCATCATATAATTTTACAGAAATAAAATGGCACCTCCATGGTGAAAGCATTCCCACCCATTTTCAAGTAGACACAGCTAATGTTAACCAGCAGTACCTGTCCACACTTCGAGTGGAGTCTCTGAGGGGAACAGATCTTGGGGAGTACAAGTGTACAGCCAAGAATGCTTTGGGAGAGGCTGAGGCAATTGTAATTGTGACAGGTTTGTGGGGAAGAAATAGTATTTTGTGCTTTATAATGTACAGACTTTTAATGAAAAGAAAAGAAACATTGTTAAGGGCGTTTAATTTTAAATGCTTATAACATATGGAAATTCCTCAAATGTTGAATTTTGGATAAGACAGTTTAGAAGTCAAGTTTTCAATATGGCAATTTAAGGGCTGTCATAGTGTTAGACATGGTCCAATTGCTCGAGGAATTTGAGCCTTAATGAAAACATTTTATTATTTTAGACAGTTTTCTTTTTCATTGAATTCATGACAGATTAAGGCTTCGTTCACATGGAATGTCTATTTTCTAAATTCTATTTTCTATTCGCGGTATGTCTTATGATCACGGTCTGTGCCCTGAATATCCCGCTGCGTAATTACTGGCAGCGCGAGCCAGTTACTTATAGTAACTTATAGTCTCAATACTTATATTCAGGAGAACCAGAGAATGTGACTATTACCAGTAACCCAGAGGGTCCCTTCTCTAATGAGTTTACATTGACATGGACTATAAAAGAATATGAACCAACTATTGAATATAAACTCAAACTTAGGACAGTAAGTTTAAAGCCACTTTTTTCAGATGTACAATGAAAACTTTTTTATTTGCATAACAGTGAAGATTTACAAAGAGTACTTTGAATTTGTTTATTTGTAAAATGAATGTATATTTATATCCTTTAGATATAAATGATGATAGTGAGATTTTAAGCAACTTAATTTGATTTGACCATCTGTCAAATAAAACATAAGTAATGTGTTATTTATTTGTATAACAGACCTAGTGTTCTCATTTTGAATGATAAACTACCAATTTATCTTTCATTCAAATTCTATCAGTATGTCTCCCTGCCCACAGTGTGCCTCCTGTGGATCACCACAACCACCTGTCATCCGAACTGTATAAGATACTGTATTAATTGTTACTGCAGTACATGTACACGTTTTGCAGACTATTTTGATTGAATTAGTTAAGTGTGTGTGTGTCTGACCATTCTTTTATTGTATTTTTCCTTTCCAGGTAAATGGTACAGAGGCAGGCCCCTGGGTGAATAGCTCCATCCCTGCCAAGTCTGAAGAGGGCTCCATTGAGCAGCAGCAGTCCTTCACCCTGGAGGGTTTAGAGCCCCTGATGGTGTACCAGGTGGAACTGGTAGCCAGGAATAAGTTCGGGGAAAGTGGAGTTGTGGAATTTACTTTTAAAACAGCAGAAGGTATACAAGGATGTTGTAGCCAGTTGAAGACAGTCTGATATGGGAGCATGAGCATTCTGCACCCTCTCTCTCTTTTTCTCTCTCTCTCACACGCACACACGCAAAGGGGTTTGAAGGTTTAAAAATTGCAGTCATTTGCATGCACAGTCAAATGCAGAAGCATGCACACGTATGTACACAGAAAGGTTTGTAGTCCTTATATTTTAATTAACAGGATACGAAGTCGAGGTCAAAATGGGATGTTGTACACAAAATCAGAGGACACACTATTGAAAGAAGGGAGGGAAATACTTTCTTGGTCATAACTCTGTTAGGTATAATTATAATTACTTCTGTGTGTTTCAACCTTCTCAAAAATTACTTTGATTCACAGCTGGCAAAGTCCGTCCTTCAACCACAATGTCAACAACAACGACAACAACAATGCCACCACCAACTACAACAACAGAGATGTTACAGGGAAGCGGCTCGGGGAAGGAGGACACCAACCGTAAGTATAATTGGCTAGCATTTGAATTGAGTGTGTTCTTATGATAGAGAAGCCTTTATGAAAAGTAGTAGTTGTAGAAGTGACTTAGTTGTAGAAATAATTGCATGTTTTTGTAACATATGATGCTAAATACTAAAGATGAGTAGATAAATGATTACTTGATAGAGGTAGCATGGCTTGGTATTTATATACAGTTTTCCTTCTTCAGTCCCCAACTCCTTTATTCTCCTGTCTTTTCGTTGTGGAGTCAGCATTAGTTATATACAGATCTCACACAGAGGAGGCACTACAGTCACTAACGACTGAGAAATGACACAGCATTGTTGTTGTTTCAAATTTTTATAATGGGAATTTTTAGGGTGTGCTGTTTTCAGTAGAGAAAACCATAGCATCCAGGAATAAGAGGTCAAACCCCAACACAACTACTGTAACAGTAATTACTTCTGCCTATCTTTTCTTTCAGCTGTTATCTTGTGTGATTTCTTCACTATCTCTCCAGATTTCTGAAATCTTCTGTCTTGACATGTTTTCTTTAGTGTATAGTAATAGTACTAACATTACTGTCCAAAGTAGCTGGGAATATGAACTGTGGGGCTCGGGAGAGGTTGAAGGTAGGTGGTTTGCTTTATCAGTAGTTTTCCATCTCAACTTCAGATCAAATTTTTCTTCTTGACCTTATCTCCTTTTGGGGTATAATATAACACTTTTATGTATCATTTCACTCTTAGCTTTTATTCTGTATTCTGTAGTTGATTTCTTTTCTGTTTTTCTATATTTTTGTTTAGTTTATTCTTCATGTGTCCCTCTCTTTCCTGTAACTCTGTAGCATGTTTTCTTAAATACTCTCTTAGCATCAGGGGAGATAGATAATATGACTTTACCAGAGATCTCATCTGGAGAGGCAGAGGGAGACACCGTACCCACTTTAGTTTATGTAAAAGGTAGGGACTCTCTTACTCACAGGAAGAATTGTCCATTTCAGAAACATGAGCATGTAAGGGTAGAAAAGTATCTTTTATTTTATTAATTTACTTTGAAAACATAGATAAAACTGGTATATTCTTACAGAAAAGTGGTTATATTCTAAACTGATAACAATGAAACACATATGCCAGTCTGAAGTAACTGGAACACTGATTAAAGCATTTTGAGGTCTACTTCTATAATCTGAAAAGGCAATTAGGGCAATAATTAGATGAAAATGCTCCTGTTTTTTACACTTTCCTTTTCTAATATCAGCCTCTTTTCATACATCTAAAATGGATCAAAATTCCTTTTTTCCTAAGGTCAGATTTGAGATGAACAAAATCATCATATGTAACTGTTATAACCCTATGTGTATAATGCCCTATCCTGATGTGTCTTGCAATTAATACATTGAAACAGACCCTTGGATCTAGGTCTGGGTTTTTTAAGAATCATCCTTTAAAGAAGGGTAAAAGGGGCCATGCCTTTTAGAAGAATCACCCTTTGCCTGTCAGGTAGATTGTAAAAATTAATTCAGGATGTATAATGAACAAAAATGTCTTCTTTGTTATAAAGATAGTTTTGTTCTAAACAATCCTTAAATATCATTTTTTGTTCATCTTCTACTGTTACTAATTGCATGATTTTTATTTTAAAAATTAGGAAAAATAAAGAAATAGTTGTCTTTGTTTAGTGTTAATACTCTCATTTACCTTTGTCTTAGTTTGTATTTTCCAAAGTTTAGTTGGAACTAATTTCTCTGTGAACAACTTTCTTAACCTCCATGAAATTGTTTAAGATTTGTCTGGTAGGCAATGTGTTACGTGAACAGTTGCGTACAGCGTGTCCTTTAAAATGGAAGAATTTTTTCTTCTAAGAAAAAGAAGAGAAATGCACCAGCCAAGATGGCACAAAGTTAATCAACTGAAAAGTTATAGAACTTATTATTTGTGAATTCTGAGAAGTATGAATAAAATAGATTGAGTGATTACATGGGAAATTGTCCAATAAAATATGATCTCGTGTTTTGTCTTGGCTTAAGTTGCTATTGTTATTAAGTTGATGGAGGGTAGTTAAAGTCTCTTTTAAGTTATGAAAACAAAATAGTACTACTGTTAAAAAATCAATTTTTTTTTGTTGAAAATTTTGGTATAAAGTAGCAACCAGATAATGTTTTTAAACAAAAGATTGGAGGTTTCTTTTTAGGTTCTGTCTATTCTTTCTTTCTTTCTTCTAACCTGTAACTTGTAGAGTTTGCTGAAGTAGCTAACACAACAAACATGGGCGAGGAAATAATACCAGTGACAAAGTTAGAAGGTGAGGACTTCCAATTTAGATCACACTAGCATATTTTTCAGTTAAATAACTGGTTTTCCACCAAGTTGATGACTTGGGAATTGGAAGATATTATTGTAATTTTCATTATCCTCAAGTAAGTGCATACAATAAAACTGGGACATTGTATTTTTAGCAAATGCCAGTTTGTTTGAAATTGGATATCAGTTATGATTTTGAGAAGTGTTTTCAGTTATGTTTGACTTTTTTTTAAACAAAACTTACCTTGTGAGCCCAGATTATTCTCTAGACATTTAGCAGACAATATGTGCTGGAGAGCATCTAGCCTGGGGCCTGTTTTACAAGAGAATCAATTTTTTTTTTTTTTTTCAATTTTAAGACCAAATACATGTGCCTTCATGTCCAGAACAATGAAGTCTGTATTAGTCCATTGAATAATAACTACTATTAGTCTTTAAGTATTTTCTTACATTTTGGGGAACAAGCCCCAAGAAGTAAACTACTCCTGTTTTTTTCTCTGACACTATACACCTTAATTTACATTTTGAGACCTATATTTCTTCAACATAAATGAAATAGGATCTAAAAGTGGCTTTAAGGGACCATTCCCAGACCCTCTCGTACTAACTGTCGATCAATCTCCGAGGGGATTCTCGATAAATTGCAGTGAACTTACTGAAGCTGCTAGGGGGTAATTCATTATCGTTTAGCCGCTTCAGTAAGCCTCTTAAGCTGAAAGCAATTTAAGAAACCCCTCGGATAGGGATCGATCCTGTTAGATCACTGTAGGTATGGGAACCCTGTCTAAGTCTGATACATGTATGAGACACCATGCCAGCAGCTAAAAGTCCAAGCATCACACAGAGGAGAAATTGATCCAATGCAACTTGGTTTTTGCTGACATTTTAATTAGACAACTATTTGTTTTCTTTTATGTGTGTGATATGTTTGAAAGCAATCATTTATTAACAGAAATGGTAGTAAATATTTAGACGCATAACCTTCAAAATATGTTTGGGTCACTTGGTTTAGATTAATAACAGAACTAATATTGTGTTAGGCGTGTAATAATGTGAAAACAACTGATAGAATGCATGTCTATACTGCAAAATATATATTACCTAATTCAAGCATGTTGATTTTAAAATTAAATTTCTTAGAACCCAACTCAACAGCTAGTGAGCCAGGGGCTAGTACACCAGGTGGAGCCACTAAGATGACACCAGAGGGCACCACTATGGTACCCTTGACTTGTAAGTGCATGACAGGACCATCCAAAGGTTTTGTGTGCATGAAGGGCATTATTGGTGCATTTTATAGGTTTATGATGTTAGCATGGTTGTTGATGCTCACTGTCCGTCACAACTGTTTCCAAATTTTATGATTTCATCTGTGTTGAAAACCATTGTACATTAACCTTAATACATGTGGAAACTCTTTGAGGGGTTAGAACTCTTCTTTTTTGGTTGGGGTCCTAGATACCTCTTAGAAATCTGGAGAGCTGGTTTTTAATGCCTGGGAGAATTATCAAGACTCATCAAAGGGTCCACATTTTAACCTCAAATTGCTTGGTAGATGAAATCATAACAAGACAGAACCGTTGTTGAAGTTACATGTCACCAGGAGAATGGGGCTTCAGTTTTATCATTGCATTTTCACATAGCTGTAAGGATGAGTGTGAATTTGTATGGCTTGTTTTTAAATTTTTCTTTTTTTCCAGCAAAGTTACCTGTCTGATCTGATGAATCTCAATTGTGTTGATTTCAGATGGGTTTTCCAGTACTGAGGACATACAAAATACTACAGGTTTTATTGAATAGTATTTTTAATGCTTTGCTTTTTGTGTATAACCACATACAAAGGTGTCACTGATATTTCTTATTTTGAAATTGAGTTGGTAAAATATGTTGTAGAGGGAAGGGCTAGACTTCAGGGATGTGATTTGTCTGGGGATTTTCCTGACTTCAGGGGATTTCATTCTTTTATAACCAATATATTTTATATAGTTCAGGTGAGGAGTATCAGTAGACATTTTTAACATGAAAAATAAAGGGCTTTCAGTATGCTTAAACTTTCAGCTTCAGAAACAAAATCTTATGCAGTTTCAGCTTTCTGGTGTTATTTTTCCTTTGAAGCTCTTTTCATTCTTAATAAAAAGCATGTCATTCTTGTCACAAATCTGAAAATATGTGCTTAACATAGTAATTTTGTATCAATAATGTTTTTCATTTTCATTCAAATTTTATTGTGATTTATTTATTCTGAAACTTACAGATGCCAGTCTGTTTATGTTGGGATGGTACGCTTTTATACCTCTGATGATTCTCTGCATCTTTGAGCCGTTTTCTCTCAGAGCTTCTGATAGATGTATACTTCTTACTGCTGGCAGTGAAAATTGAATGCCTTACCCCAGCTTATAAAAGACATGCCCCTTTTTAAACCTTTCTTATAGTCCCAGTGCAAAATACTTGCTTCCTACTCATAATATGGCAGTTTTACACATTAGATTTTTTTCCCCTTATCCACTGGTTTTTTCATATAATACAGGTTGAAGCAGGGGAAATAAGCTATTTTGACCATTGAAGGCCTTTATGGCATATCAGATGTTACAGTGTTAATCAAAAGAAAAAAAAATTGCTCAACAAATTATTCTCATATATTTTTCTGCCAGCTGAAGCTAAATAAATATATCATTGATGCCAATTATTTTACATGTTAATAATTAAGGGAAGATATTTTTTATTAATTATTTTCTTATTTCATCAGATGGTTGCATAAATTTAAAAGAAAAAATCTGGGTACATTTTGGAATAATATCAAACTAGATAGTTCTATTGTTATCACATAATATGATTGTCATTATTATTATAATTATTATTATTTCAGCCACCCCCAAGGAGCCTGGAAAAGTAAGAGATGTGGCTTCTTCGAAAATTGCCTCCATTTCCATCACCATAGTGACTGTCACCCTAGCAACGCTATTGTTCTCATAACTTATGGCCTTTGTATCAGTTGCTAAGCAACATTACATAACCTTTTAGATAAATACAAAAACTTTGCTGCACTAAAGATAAACTGCATATTCTTGGGGAAAGTATGTTAATGTAGAAATGAATATCTTCACCATCAAAACTTAACACTGATTGTGTATCCTGCAATGGGAGATCCATTTTTTTAATCCTCGCACACTGTAAAATCTGATATTCATTAAATTTTTTCTCTGCATTTATTTATTTATTATTTTAAATACTTAGTTGATGTCTTAAGTCTGTTATTATTTTATTTATTTATTTTATTCTATTTTATTTTTTTGAGGGGGGATAACTTACAGGAGTCAGTTGATCAGAATTATCAGCTCTGTTGCTGAAGAACCATTTCAGCAAAGAGATTTAATGATTAAACTAACTTGTTACTCTATTTATAAGAATGGTCAATTTAGGAAAGGTGGAAAAGGCTTTACTGCAGGCCCCTTGCACAGTTGAAGTTCAGCATTAGCTATAGCAGGTTTAGTAGAATCATTAGGTTTTTGCATATTTAGTTTATGTATGTATTATGGTACTGTGACTTCCCATGCCTTGTTTTGTTTTTGTTGTGGTTTTGATGAATTTAGTACACAAAATTAACATTTTTTCAGTTTGATTATATTGTAATTTTTGTACTGCAGAAAATGTGGTTGTAAGGATGACAAATTGGTTCATCTAGAAGCTTATGCATTGTCTAAGTGATCAGCGTTTTGTTGCCTAATGTAGATTTCTCAAATAGTTTTTTTAATTGATGGTATTACTGCAGCAGTATATATGACTCAGTAGCATCTTAAGCACTTGATCAGTGAAAGGAAGTTTACCCACAAAGTGTATATTGTGTACATCTTCCTTAATTGTAAATTAATAGCATGACTGCAGCAGTACATATGGCATCATAATAATTTTAGTATTTTGTTTGAGAAAGAAGGCCGAATCCTAGCCATTTTCCCCTCATAATGTTTGTTCATCTCCTTTCTGTTTTATATTTCATTAAGCTCTGAAAATCACTTCTTAATAAAAGTAGAAATGACAGGAACTTAGCCCAGGTTTTAAAAGTGTGGTTATGTAACTTCATTATAAAAAATAACCTGCCCTGAAAGGTGCTGGTGCTATGCTTTTCATGTAGATAATATATGGGCTGAGCAAGATCTTTGTTAATTTGCACACAAGCTGATGTTTTCCACTTGTCTGCTGTCCCTGTGCAACATTTTTTTCAAATTTTGGTTAATTTGCATTCACTTTAAGTTAGAAGATGTTATCTGTTCTAACATAGCCAAAATGAAGTTCATGATAAATTTTTGTCTTTTTATCTTGTGATTTAGCTTGATATTGCTCCTTGAAGTGTTTTTAGTCATGACTTTGAAGTTATTTTTAAATATATTTCAAGATCTTGTTTCACTTTTTTTTGTAAAGTGATTTGTTTTGCAATAAGCATGCTAAAAGTAAGCTTGTTACTTAAGTGTATAGGAAAAAGTAATTATTACGTTCACTCAAGGCTTGTGGTAACATATTAAATTCAAACTTTTTTTTGTTCTTCTATTTTTTGTTATTCTATTGTAGTTAACTTGAGTTAAAGGTTTTTTATTTTTATTTTATTTATTTATTTTACGAAGATGTGCAGCTTTGTGGTGGTATTGTGCTTCATGTTTGAAAAGATGGACTTAATGTCAATGATTTTAGAAACACTTCAAATGCCATGACATGGATAGATAGATAAATTTTTCTACTACTACTATTACTTGCAGTAAAAGTAGTACTTGTTCTCAAGGGCAGACTGCAGTCTTAAAGCCTGGTAGAGGTTATTTTGTGTATTTTTTTTGTTTACATTTTATCTTTAAAACGTTTTATATAATTATTATTGTTAATTTTTTACTTCGTCTTTATTACACAGTTTTAATCCCTGTATGTATGGCATAAGTTGATGCATTACCAAATGGGTCTCGCGTGCACTCTCAAGCAGAACCTGTTCTCCTTATTTCCGTCAAAGATTTGCTCAGTTTCTTGTTCTTGTCGCCTAGATGATGTATGCAGCTGTGACATACTCTCTGTGAGGGTATACACTGTAGTTTTGATTGAAGCTGTTTAACTGTTTTATGCTTATCATCTATGTTTGCAGTCTATAGAGGAATGAGGTTTTTTCCACTTACAGGGGAGAGAAGGGAGTTAAAATCTAGTTGAGTAAGCAGTTAAAATTATTATACAGACACACTATGTCTGTATATATTTTGATCTTTATCTGTCATTGCCGTCTGACACATCTGTTGTTCAGTAAAAAGGCAGGTTCCTTTTTAAAATTGACGTGATAATTTTTTTAAAACTGAAGCTCTTCATTTCTTCCATGTATCTTGGCAATGTTTTGCTTAATGATATTAAGTGTCTGTACATTTGCCAGCTTTGCTGTCTAGATAAAAAAACAATCTGCCTTCAAAACATGCCATTTATATTTTATATGTGTAAGGTTGTAAGTGGCCATTAATTTCCTTTTCAATTGTTCCCTTGTATGATTTATTGGTAACTAACTTACATTGCATTTTAGAAAACGCCTTGTTATAGGTTGAAGTGAACCTCATTGCTTTATCGAGACATTTGATATCTGCTTTATGTACTGTAAACCTTTTTATAATAAATGGTTTTGAACTTATAAAGTTAGACTTTTTACACTCAAAAATTGCAAAAAAAAAAAAAAAAAGTATGCTGCTACTTTTAGCTTATTCCTAAATGGAAAAAAATGTTTTTATCTTACATATGAATCATTTTATTTCTGAATCCATGTTAAACCATACATTATTAACTACAGAGTGCTAAAAGATCTATTCTTAAAAAATACCATGCCTCTGTCTGCTGTCTTTTATTTTACAATAGAACTTGTGACAAAATCCTCAAAGATTCCCATAACACGGGTGAATAACTATCCTTACGATGATTCAAGAAAATGCATTTTGAACTGCATCATGGCTACACGCCAAAATGCTCTTGAGGGCCACCTTACAAGTTTCTCCGACTTGGCTAAACCTAGCCCAAATCACTTAATAGGCATTTCAGCAATCAAAAAGAAAAATTGGTAGCAATAAACCTCCTCCACAATAAATGGCTATGGATAAAGCATCTAGCTAAAAGCAATAATCAAGTCCTAGTTTGAATTGAGTTATGCGCTGGAGTTTCCAAGGTTACCAGTCATCAAACTAAAATTCAAAGTTTACGACTTTTACCTGAGGAAGTTTCTTACTTTTTAAAAAAGTGTAAATAGTCACTAACAGTTAAAAGCTAACTAACGCCATTAATTTTAAATTTCTTTGATTGTAAAAATATACATTCTCTAGATGTAGACATTCGAGTATAAAGATACATAATACTTTATGTACAGTGAATACGTAGCAACATTATTTTTACTTGTTCATGTATAATTTTTCTATAAAAAACTGTAAAATATGTATACCATTGCTATGCAGTCTAAAAATTAATATGTACATTTTTTTTTCTGGGCAGACATGCTTCTGTCTACATGAACCTTAAACTGATGATATCAGTATGACACGAAGAGATTAAAGGATTTATGAGCTTGTTGTCACAGGCAAAAGTAATAATCAAAATTTTCTTTTATAGCTAGTTCCCCTTCCATAAAAGATTAACTAGCATCATAAAATAGTTAACCATTACAAAGTGAACTTGGGACAAGCATCATATGATTTCAATGACATGCCAAAACCAAATCAAAAAACTATAAATCAATGCGTTCATCAAACCTCTATAAGCACCCAGTCCAAGTCCAGTGAGAATTTTGTAAAAAATTCCAAAGTGGTAATATATATATATATACATACTGACAGTCAATGAAAACGCATCTTTTATTTATCAAATATTATTTCAAGTTCCTTAGGTACATAAGGAAAATAACAGTTTTCGTGTGAAATATGAAATAGTGGTCAGCCCACTCTCTTATGACCAAACAAATGCATTTGTACTCGGTTTGTATATGGTTGGAATCGATTCTCGGTAAAAGTGTACAAGAAAGTTTTCTGATGCGTTTTCATTGACTGTCAGTATATATATATACATTGCGATTTATATTTACATGGAAAAGGATGTCCTGGTATGGAGTAGCAGCTGCGTAATGGACAGCATACAAGATGGTCTTTGTACTAAATCTTGGAGCCCATTTACACCCAGTGGCAGACTGACTGAACTAATGCAATTTAAGAAGACTCGCATGCAATAACAGGAGGGCTTTAACTGCTTTTCACAAGTCCTCCACAAATTTGCTTTCTGCTTTTATAATGAGTTCATTGGCTATGTCAAGCACAGCGTGGAGGAGGAAGGGACTGTCTAGTTTTGTAAAGTTTTGCTAATATAGAATACACCAGGATCTTAAGACAACTGCTTACCCAGCTAAAATATTCAATCTTCACTCAAACTGAAAATGTTATGAAAGTATACAACCGTTGAGCTTATCTCAAATTTATGCTTATAAAAAATAGTTTCAAACTTTTAGTTGGCAAAGTCATGCAGAGACGACTGGTTAGCACTAGAAAATTAGTGGGGATAACTGAAAAGTGGACATCTTTATCCTTCCCTTTCTCTTTTAATTATTTATCTAATTTTTGCCAGTTCCTGTATGCTGTCCCTACATGTAAAAAAAAAAGTAAATAACAGTCCTTTTATCTCACATTCACTACAGTCCTCACTCTTGTGATGCTTGAAAATTTGGTCTTTTATATATATAAAAAAACATCTAAAGATGCTTCTCACATCACATCATCTTCATTTTCTGAAATAAAATGAAACATATATGTCAAACCACTAACAGAAAATACTGAATGAAAAGTAATATAATGTTCGAATTCCTTTAAATTTTATTATCATCAACACCATAATCATCCACTATTATCATAAATATTGCTATTTGAAGAATGAAAATTCCAGATGAGACAAATTCACTGCATTCACTCATCGAAGGATGCTACCTACTATGAAAGGCTCCAGAATAATAGCAGCAAAAGCACTGATACAAAACCACTGAGTGTTGTGGCTCCACTCACAGCCCCTGCTATCTGATCAGGTTGCGCTGTATTTGTCTCTGAAATAAATAGAGGTCAGGGGTCAAGACTTGTTTTAAAGCTTGAAATCAACCAGAAACAAGCCAAGCCAGTCTTAAAATTTAAACTATAGGCAAATTTTACAATGGGAATTTTTTTTAAAAATAATTTTAATATTTGGTCCACTTCAGTACTAGATGATTTCATAATAGTCCACTGGAGTAGAGTAGTTAATATGTTATGTGACCTTGTCAATATACAGTATTTGGTTTGGTTTCAGTGTTACAATCACATTCATTAAGCTTTTATTACACAACCTTTCTTCTTTTCTTTTTTCTTCCACTTTATGAAAATCAGGTTTTGATCTATTTTAATTCCTAATGTTAGTACTTTAAAATCTGCCCACAAATTATTCACTTGACCCCCCATTTCACCGAGCTACTCACCTTCTAATTTGATGGTCAAGGAAGAGCTACCTTTATTATTTGAAACACTGCATGTGTAATAACCATAGTCATCAGCAGATACACTGTTAATGACATACTTTGCCGTGGCTTCACTGTTGGCTCTTTGTAAGAAACGATAATCACTGTAAAAGAAAAGAATGTAAGATTTTCATTTATTATAATGAAATATTACTTCATAAAACTTTAAAACCCATTACATCAACTGTCATTAACTGAATTAAATTAGTTATGATATAAAGCAATGCAAAGCAAGGATTTTTAACTTGCTAGTCAATAAAACGAGGCAAATATTTATTGACTGTCCAGTAATTTGGTTTCTTACATGGTAATATATTCATGTTAACCATATATTACAAATTTAAAGAAATTAATATCNGACTGTCTAGTTTTGTAAAGTTTTGCTAATATAGAATACACCAGGATCTTAAGACAACTGCTTACCCAGCTAAAATATTCAATCTTCACTCAAACTGAAAATGTTATGAAAGTATACAACCGTTGAGCTTATCTCAAATTTATGCTTATAAAAAATAGTTTCAAACTTTTAGTTGGCAAAGTCATGCAGAGACGACTGGTTAGCACTAGAAAATTAGTGGGGATAACTGAAAAGTGGACATCTTTATCCTTCCCTTTCTCTTTTAATTATTTATCTAATTTTTGCCAGTTCCTGTATGCTGTCCCTACATGTAAAAAAAAAAAGTAAATAACAGTCCTTTTATCTCACATTCACTACAGTCCTCACTCTTGTGATGCTTGAAAATTTGGTCTTTTATATATATATAAAAAAACATCTAAAGATGCTTCTCACATCACATCATCTTCATTTTCTGAAATAAAATGAAACATATATGTCAAACCACTAACAGAAAATACTGAATGAAAAGTAATATAATGTTCGAATTCCTTTAAATTTTATTATCATCAACACCATAATCATCCACTATTATCATAAATATTGCTATTTGAAGAATGAAAATTCCAGATGAGACAAATTCACTGCATTCACTCATCGAAGGATGCTACCTACTATGAAAGGCTCCAGAATAATAGCAGCAAAAGCACTGATACAAAACCACTGAGTGTTGTGGCTCCACTCACAGCCCCTGCTATCTGATCAGGTTGCGCTGTATTTGTCTCTGAAATAAATAGAGGTCAGGGGTCAAGACTTGTTTTAAAGCTTGAAATCAACCAGAAACAAGCCAAGCCAGTCTTAAAATTTAAACTATAGGCAAATTTTACAATGGGAATTTTTTTTAAAAATAATTTTAATATTTGGTCCACTTCAGTACTAGATGATTTCATAATAGTCCACTGGAGTAGAGTAGTTAATATGTTATGTGACCTTGTCAATATACAGTATTTGGTTTGGTTTCAGTGTTACAATCACATTCATTAAGCTTTTATTACACAACCTTTCTTCTTTTCTTTTTTCTTCCACTTTATGAAAATCAGGTTTTGATCTATTTTAATTCCTAATGTTAGTACTTTAAAATCTGCCCACAAATTATTCACTTGACCCCCCATTTCACCGAGCTACTCACCTTCTAATTTGATGGTCAAGGAAGAGCTACCTTTATTATTTGAAACACTGCATGTGTAATAACCATAGTCATCAGCAGATACACTGTTAATGACATACTTTGCCGTGGCTTCACTGTTGGCTCTTTGTAAGAAACGATAATCACTGTAAAAGAAAAGAATGTAAGATTTTCATTTATTATAATGAAATATTACTTCATAAAACTTTAAAACCCATTACATCAACTGTCATTAACTGAATTAAATTAGTTATGATATAAAGCAATGCAAAGCAAGGATTTTTAACTTGCTAGTCAATAAAACGAGGCAAATATTTATTGACTGTCCAGTAATTTGGTTTCTTACATGGTAATATATTCATGTTAACCATATATTACAAATTTAAAGAAATTAATATCAGAAGTGACCAGTTTATTTCAACAAATTGAAAGTATGTAGCTAATTGAACCGAGAATTGGAAAAAAAAAATCTTCTCAGACTTTATTACATTCAAACTGCAACAGCACCCAAATGCACAAAAATTTGCCATAATTTAGAACAACCTATCAGATGTGTTGTTGCTTGCAATTTTCTGTGTGATAATGTATACCAGACTTTGATTGGCAGATTCAACTTTCAACACACACCAATCAGGGGTATCAGCAGAAGTCTTAAAGATGTTCAGCACTTGTGAAAAAAAAGGACAACTTACCCTGAAGTTAGATCTTGAGAGCCACTGTCTTTTAACTTACTGAAAGACCACACAACATCTCCAGATTCAACATTGGGATTGGCCAAGATAAAACACAGAATGGAAATTTTGTGCCCTTTTTTCTGAAGGGCGACATGTTCATTTTCTCTATTCAGGTATGGCGAACTGAGAACAGGGGTGACTGGAATTATATTAAAAAAATAACAGAAATGAAAATAAACAACTGAAAAATGATGACTGAAACTGACATTACAGCTGCAAGGTAGCCTTTTGAAAGATTTAAAAAAAACTGCATACATGTGTTTTTATTTTAGAGCAAAACAATTTCATTTTAAGTTTGTAACTATTGTTATAAAATTGAAAATAATTTACCCATATTAAAAATTTCCTCAGTTGATAAAATCTGTATTGGAATAATAACAAATGTGAGCCACTAACGGCACCATTTGATAAAATGCCATATATTACAATGAAAAAATAAGGCTCTTAATCATCTGACTGTCTAATGCTGTGCAAGTGTGAGTTAGATTCTTACAATCAACAATGAGCTGTACTTCAGTTGTGGCCACACCAACCCTGTTGGTGGCTTCACAGCGGAACAACCCCATGTCTTCTGCCTTGGCACTTCTTATGTCCAACTTTTCTCCAATATACTGTAAAGAAGTCAATTAAGAGTTCAACATCCCCAGTGTCAATGCCAATTGTATACCAATCTGCAACCATGCCTTCATCTTCCTGTGAACTTTTACGCTTAAGTTTTTATTTTTTTGACAATGATGCAGCTGTCATATTTGCATCCACGTTTGAAAGCAATCACTTGTGAAGATCTGTTTCACAACAAATTCAGCAGGTTTTCTGGTAGAAGATGAACTATATTTGCAAAAACCCAAGCTTTTGCAACATTTTTAGTGGGCACAGAGAGTGACATCAGTCAGTTCCACAGTTTCAGAATTTATACACTCAGTCTGGAGCTTTTTAACTTAAAAGTGCAGTGTTTTAGTCTGTTAATTAAAGCACTCCTTATTCAATGTAGTGACTCTATAATGTTCAACTTCCCTAATCTTTTTCTGCCTCACATTGACAGTAGTATAGATAAATAAGGCTTGTGAAAATAAAAACAACGATTACTTGCCTCTTCTCCACCACCTGGCATCATGCCGCCTCCAACTCTCTCCCATTTAATTTCTGGTGCTGGAGACCCCGATGCTTTACACAGTAGGGAAGTGTGCTTGTCTTCGTCTACCTGCGCTACTTGGGTGGTTTGCATTTTCAGAATTTTAGGAGCATCTGTAAAAAAAAATTATATATATATAACAAGCGTGCATGTGGTACAGAGTGCTCAACTGTCCGGAGCATTTATGCCCAATTAAAATTAATAAATAAATAAAAAAACAAGAGACATGTATCAACCCCGTAAGTGCCGTCACGCTGTGTAGATACACGACTAAAACACCATTTTCAAATAAAAACCTCATGACGCTTGGGCATACCTTCTGGGTATGCCTGTTGTCAGAGACATCAAATAAATTAATTCGCAGGTAATTTCAGTAACTTGACGTACTAACTTTTTGCTGTAGTCTGTAACTCCTTGTAATACTTTATGTAAAGTCTAAAGAGGCAGAGTAGACTTGTTGACTATACTGATAAAGAAGCCATTGATTAGGAAGTTCATGACGCCTGTCTTGTCTTGGTTAGAAACTAAAGGGTGTAATATTCAACATATCGTCAGAATGTACCTGAGCAAGCGACAAGTGAACATTAAATGATTGAAACTGGTTATTGTTGTCAGCGTTTGATTTCCTCATAGCGATCTACACATAACTATTTTGACCGCGAACTTGGAAGGTAATATTAACACGTTATCCAAACTGAAAGTAACAGTGTCCGTATTTCGAGCCCTTTATTAAATTTGATTCAAAGCTAAATTTTGCGCGGTTCCGGACACCGTGAAACTCGTAAAAACTCTGAGTCGGGGTTGATACATGTCTCTCGTTTTTTAATTTATTTATTAATTTTAATTGTGCATACGTGAGTGTGTGTATGTATATACATGATTGTACCTCCACTCCTGTTTCACAATGAGGCCATTTAAACATATATATAGATTATGAATACCACTCATGATTTTATACCCATGTCCATATCACACTTGAGAGCTTTTCATTTCCCAGATTCAAAAAAGGAACAGCATCCATCCATCCATCTCTCCACTTTCACTATATCAGACCACCTCATCATGACCTATTACCGGCTGAATTAAAATGAAAATAATTGTCTCTGAGCAAACTGAAACTGGAAAGCATTCAACTTACCATAGACTATCATTCTTTTGCTTGCAAAAATCTGTGTCTTTTGTGTGACATAAATATAGCAGCGATAATCCCCTTCGTCTGTCTCCTTGATGTTCCGAACATCCAGTATCCAGGTGCTGGGCTCCTTCTTTTCGATTTGATATTTTGTTTTGTCGTAAACAGTTGTATCAAAGGAAATGGGAACTTTGGTGCCATTTTGAATTTTCTCATAGCTGACCTAAATGGGGAAAGTGAAAAACTTGAGCTTTACCTATCAAAAGTATTTTGCTACAAGCCACCCTGAGCTTCAGAGCTAACTTGACACTGACCTTTTNCCGAAGTGACCAGTTTATTTCAACAAATTGAAAGTATGTAGCTAATTGAACCTTGAATTGGAAAAAAATCTTGTCAGACTTGTCTTTGTAAGTTAAAATAATCATCTGCACTTTATTACATTCAAACTGCAACAGCACCCAAATGCACAAAAATTTGCCATAATTTAGAACAACCTATCAGATGTGTTGTTGCTTGCAATTTTCTGTGTGATAATGTAAACCAGACTTTGATTGGCAAAATCAACTTTCAACACACACCAATCAGGGGTATCAGCAGAAGTCTTAAAGATGTTCAGCACTTGTGAAAAAAAAGGACAACTTACCCTGAAGTTAGATCTTGAGAGCCACTGTCTTTTAACTTACTGAAAGACCACACAACATCTCCAGATTCAACATTGGGATTGGCCAAGATAAAACACAGAATGGAAATTTTGTGCCCTTTTTTCTGAAGGGCGACATGTTCATTTTCTCTATTCAGGTATGGCGAACTGAGAACAGGGGTGACTGGAATTGTATAAAAAAAATAATAACAGAAATGAAAATAAACAACTGAAAAATGATGACTGAAACTGACATTACAGCTGCAAGGTAACCTTTTGAAAGATTTAAAAAAACTGCATATATGTGTTTTTCTTTTAAAGCAAAACAATTTCATCTTCAGTTTGTAACTACTGTTATAAAACTGAAAATAATTTACCCATATTAAAAATTTTCTCAGTTGATAAAATCTGTATTGGAATAATAACAAATGTGAGCCACTAACGCCACCATTTGATAAAATGCCATATATTACAATGAAAAAATAAGGCTCTTAATCATCTGACTGTCTAATGCTGTGCAAGTGTGAGTTAGATTCTTACAATCAACAATGAGCTGTACTTCAGTTGTGGCCACACCAACCCTGTTGGTGGCTTCACAGCGGAACAACCCCATGTCTTCTGCCTTGGCACTTCTTATGTCCAACTTTTCTCCAATATACTGTAAAGAAGCCAATTAAGAGTTCAACATCCCCAGTGTCAATGCCAATTTTATACCAATCTGCAACCATGCCTTCATCTTCCTGTGAACCTTTACGCTTATGTTTTTTTGTTTTTTTTTTGACAATGATGCAGCTGTCATATTTGCATCCACGTTTAAAAGCAATCATTTGTGAAGATCTGTTTCACAATAAATTCAGCAGGTTTTCTGGTAGAAGATGAACTATATTTGCAAAAACCCAGGCTTTTGCAACATTTTTAGTGGGCACAGAGAGTGACATCAGTCAGTTCTACAGTTTCAGAATTTATACACTCAGTCTGAAGCTTTTTAACTTTAAAGTGCAGTGTTTTAGTCTGTTAATTAAAGTACTCCTTATTCAATGTAGTGACTCTATAATGTTCAACTTCCCTAATCTTTTTCTGCCTCACATTGACAGTAGTATAGATAAATAAGGCTTGTGAAAATAAAAACAACGATTACTTGCCTCTTCTCCACCACCTGGCATCATGCCGCCTCCAACTCTCTCCCATTTAATTTCTGGTGCAGGAGACCCCGATGCTTTACACAGTAGGGAAGTGTGCTTGTCTTCGTCTACCTGCGCTACTTGGGTGGTTTGCATTTTCAGAATTTTAGGAGCATCTGTAAAAAAAAAATTATATATATATATATATATATATATATATATATATATATATATATATATATATATATATATATATATAACAAGCGTGCATGTGGTACAGTGCTCAACTGTCCGTAGCATTCATGCCCAATTAAAATTAATAAATAAATAAAAAAACAAGAGACATGTATCAACCCCATAAGTGCCTTCACGCTGTGTAGATAAACGGCTAAAACTCCATTTTCAAAAAAAAAACCTCCTGACGATCGGGCATACCTTCTGAAACTCAGAGTCGGGGTTGATACATGTCTCTCGATTTTTTAAATTTATTTATTAATTTTAATTGTGCATACGTATGTGTGTGTGTGTGTGTGTGTGTGTGTGTGTGTGTGTGTGTGTGTGTGTGTGTGTGTATGTATGTATGTATGTATATATATATATATATATATATATATGATTGAATGTCCACTCCTGTTTCACAATGAGGCCATTTAAACATATATAGATTATGAATACTTTCTACTTTCACTATATCAGACCACCTCATCATGACCTATTACCTGCTGAATTAAAATGAAAATAATTGTCTCTGAGCAAACTGAAACTGGAAATCGTGCAACTTACCATAGACTATCATTCTTTTGCTTGCAAAAATCTGTGTCTTTTGTGTGACATAAATATAGCAGCGATAATCCCCTTCGTCTGTCTCCTTGATGTTCCGAACATCCAGTATCCAGGTGCTGGGCTCCTTCTTTTCGATTTGATATTTTGTTTTGTCGTAGACAGTTGTATCAAAGGAGATGGGAACTTTTGTGCCATTTTGAATTTTCTCATAACTGACCTAAATGGGAAAAGTGAAAAGCTTGAGCTTTGCTTATCAAAAGTATTTTGCTACAAGCAGGTTGCTGACTACTTAGTAATTCTACTTATCATTTCTTTAAAACAAAAGGAGCTTTTTAAAAAACAGAAGTTTTATGCCAAAATTACATCTACAGGTAACTTAATTACAAGTATGGCACCTCACATATGATACTGAATTAGATCAACAAATCTGGTTCAGAAGCAAAAGTGAAAAAGTGAAATAAATCTAATATGAACAGCCTGCAAATTACAAACTTTTCAGGGCCTGTCTTTTGAAAATTAGCAAAATATGCCACTGTCTACTATATCAAAAGTCCCACCTTACCAGAACCTTGATATGTCCAACATTTTAAAGCCATGCAATTCGATATTGTAAATATGAAATTTCAATTTCATTTTTTTAAAGATAAAGCTGACATGAGAAAAATATCCACCACCTGTTTAACAAGAAAAGAGCTTTTCTTTTTCCTGACACCATTTTCATTTGCCATTTTTTTATATTTAAAGTACTGTAAAATTTTGTTACTTTGTAAGAAGAAAATAATTTAATGTGATTACTAGTATTATCATTATTATTAAATTACTGATGATAATAATCACATCACATTAGTTTACCTACCGAGGACTGTTTAGGCATGTCTTCAACAGTACAATTTAGGGAGACAACAGGCACATGGGTTATCAAAGTTTCTGGACGATTAAAGGGTTCCATGAAGTTCAAATAAACCTTGGGATCAGTTTGGGCAGACACTGAAACAGATAATAAAAATGGTTGCTATCCATACCAATAACCACCACTGAGGTACTTGTAGAAGAGGATCAGTCTACTTCTATATTTTGTACAGCGTCAACCCCACTCCCCCCCCCCCTCCAACCCATCCATCCACACACACACACACACACACACACACAAACGGAATAAAAGGGGATTGTAATGCACATTTAGTTCGCCCCATTTAGTTTCATTAGAAATGGGGAATATTTAAAAGGAGGAAAATATACTGTAAAACACCGTCAAGAGGTCCATAACTTTAATTTTACCCTTGTTTGCAAGAAGCACTAAACAATTTATTTTTTGTAAAAGCAAAATATTTATGTTACATACTATTCCTTCAACCTTTCTTCGATTCATGTCAAATACAGAGAGGTCTAAAAAAGATTCCAAAGTCGGTACCAGCCTGTAAATAAGTCATCTCAAGCATAGTGAAATAAACTTTCCCCTTAAATTAATACACACCTGTCGCCAAATAAGCCAGGAATACAATCCCAACGATATCACTGGCCATTCTTCTTTTCTACTGCCGTCTTCAGCCTTGAAAAACCTCACAGCAACATACACAGATCCGTTGAAAAATGCAAAACTTTGGTGTCCTTTCCTCACCTGTAGAATTTGAGACACCGGAAATAAACAGGTGTCCGTTGAGCATGCGTCAAGGTGATTCAAACTATTTCACACATTCCATTCAGATTAGGTCAATTTAGTCGTCGAATCCATGGGACAATGGGCGTTTAATTGCTAATTTGATTCATTTCCTTTTATCCGTTTCAGCAAAACAAGACAAAAATTTTTTTTTGAATAAAGTTGATTGGGTTCGCATTGTACATGTACTAAATTGACTGAGTTGACGCGCCCGCGTAAACAGGCATTGTACAGGTTGTAGGTAAAATTAGGAATGCAGGTGTGTTAGCCAGTATAGTGGAACGTTGCGTGGGCTGAATTATCAAATTATTCGTTCTTGCAAGACGCTTATTTTCGGATTTGATAACCACCGAGTGACCCATTGCCCAATTTAAGTGTGCTCATTGGCATTTTAACAATAATTACAGTAATATATTTTAATTTTAAAAGACACGCATGTACATGTATTCAAGTTGAAAAAAAAATCTGCAAAACGGTGTAGGTCTGTTGAATCATATCGCAGTCTACGATATAATTCCCTGGTCTGTTCAGGAGGAGCTATTCAGGCCTATTGACTTTTTATTTATTTATTTATTTATTTATTTATTTATTTATTTATTTATTTTTATTTTTATTTTATTTTATTTTATTTTATTTTGTTGTACGGGCAAATGTCTCTACCTCGTTATGTTGGAATAATGCGACATTAAACATTACCAGTTCTTTAATAAGACCATTACAAGTTAATTAAAAACCAAATGGTAAAGTGAATGAGAGCAATAAAAAAATAATAATTTACAAGTCGCTAACCAAGGCTAAATTCCGGAAACTGTATTGCTATCTGGCTGTTATCACGAGCTACAATGATTAAAAGGCTTAGGAAAAATATGTCATTTTACAAATAGAATGATTTAGGTTATAGCCTAAGCCCTTGGTGTTTTAAGTGCATTTACAGCTTGGACGAAAAATACTATCCGTCCAAGTTTTCAGGGAGCTCGTGCCAGACTTATTGCTGCACCCAGTCTATTAAATTGGCGTCCAGACAAACCCACGCCCCCCTTTTTTGTTATCTTATCATTTACTATCTATTTTTTAAAATCCTGACAGGATTCTGATTGTAATGATTTCAAAATGAAAAAAAGAGATTTTTCAATGTAAGATTTATTATTATTATTAATTTTTTTTTTTTTTTTTTTTTTTGTGGTTTTTCATAGTTAGATGGGTGCATATGGCCACAGTTTAATCCAAGTGAAATTCTCATTGAAGAGGTCAGTTTAGGGAAGGTTGTCTCGACAAAAATTGACATAAAAGATTTCCATAAAGGCGCATTACAAACTTGGAACTGATTTTCGATAGATTGAACGTCTGATCCAATGAATCATGAATGGTCTTTTCTAATAAAATCCCACAAAACATGTCTTTCCTGATATTATTTCTTATGCAAATTGAACAAAAAACAACAATATCTTAATTTTTANTTATTTTTTTTTTTTTTTTTTTTTTTTTGTGGTTTTTCATAGTTAGATGGGTGCATATGGCCACAGTTTAATCCAAGTGAAATTCTCATTGAAGAGGTCAGTTTAGGGAAGGTTGTCCCGACAAAAATTGACATAAAAGATTTCCATAAAGGCGCATTACAAACTTGGAACTGATTTTCGATAGATTGAACGGGGGCGTCTCGATAGTCCGAAGGTTCATTGGTCCGAAAAGTGGTAACATTTTCATCGATTTTTTAATCAAGTTCTATAGTGAACATTCGGACCAATGAACCTTCGGACTATTGAACCTTCGGACTATCGCTACGGCCCCGATTGAACGTCTGATCCAATGAATCATGAATGGTCTTTTTCTAATAAAATCCCACAAAACATGTCTTTCCTGATATTATTTCTTATGCAAATTGAACAAAAAACAACAATATCTTAATTTTTAAGTAATTTATTTCTTCATTTGTGAGTTCTAATGGAAAATATACTAATAACAACCTGAAGCAATTCACCTGGCCCATAGGCTGAAAAGATTTTGGGCAAGGGTGATCTTGCTAGGTTGATGTAAAATACAATTTTTAAAAATAATGTTATCAGTAAATGATTCTGGTTGTATTCCCTGATAGGCAATAGTCTCCTTAGCCTCAACCTAGTGACATGTTACTGCTATAAAGCCTTTATGACCACCAATAAAAATCTATGACGAATACATTTGGAAATGCCTCAATTTGATCTTAACAAGCAGGAGGGGCATGCAGCCTTACATTCAACACATTCACAGACATAACCATTGTCAACTTGGAATTTTTTTTACTTCAAAGACAATATATTTGGTAAGCCAAGCACTCCTGTTACCTATAGGTCACAGACTGTTATAAAATGCTAAGATATAATGAAGCTACATAATCCAAATAGTTACAAAGATTATGAAAATCAGCTGAGTTCTGCCATTTTTAAGTTACAAAAGGACCACTCAAACAAAAGAGCACTCTAGTACTACAAGCCATCTTCAAGCAAACTGGTATAGAAGGGATTAATTTACCATCCGAAATTAGCTCATCACTTCATAATCTAACTATGTAACAAGTCCATCTATATATGATGAATAAGTATTTTCTGGCAAAGTAAAAATTGTTAAAAGCCCATTTTGCCATTTTTATGAGCCTTTGTTGGCTTGGTCATATAGTAATAGTGCATATAATTACAATAGTAAAATATTAACGAGGAATATTAATCATCAAAATGACTTATGTACATATGACCACGTTATAATGATTATATTTGCCACAATGTTATCAATATCTTGCAGAAATATGGCAACAAATATCTGAGAAACAATGTTTCCCATGTTAAAACTGTAAATAGTATATCAGTAAACCTCAAATATCCTGGTAAAATATACACATTATTTATGTGAAAAAATAGGAATTGGACTCAACAAACTTCCAATTATATACAGGGCATGCAAAAGATACATTTTTTTTTTTTTTGGAAAAAATATCTCAACCAATCTACAATGGTGAAATTAACCATTTTACAAGTAATGGTCCAAGGAAAGGTGTTTACAACCAGAATAGCCCCCCCCCCCTCTTCAACCACGAGTGGCATGGTTCACTTAAACGGAAAAACCTTATCAGCTGAGTTGTAAACTAAGTATAAAGCAGCAGTTTTTCTTCATATCTACAGCCTTCTTTGCATTAAAAGTGCACTAAATTTGTAAAAATTAAGCTGTAAATTGTAGAAAAATTACTTCTTTAATCTTAGAACAATAAGTATACCTTGTACATCCAAGTAATGTTAATTAAAAATAACATGGCTAATTGCTAATTGTATTTTGTTAAATCTTGAAAATTAGGCCCAGGGAATGCAGTCCTCTGCAACATACACTTCATATATGCTGTACGTGTTGGAAAATTGGTTATCATACAAACTGTCCTTTTATAATTTCTAAATAAAATAAAGTATCATGCAAAGACATCTTTCGTAAAATTCAGTACATTAGGTATCTTAGACAGTCCTGGCCACTTATGTTTATATATTAATTTTTTTGTGTATTTACAATGCTTATGAAATGGCTATCCTTTGTCATCAAAAAATTGCTAAGAGTAAGCCTTTTAACGTCTAGTGTTACATGCCCTGGGCCTACAAGAACCTTCAATGAAAATGGCATTGGTTTGAAAAAAACATTAGAACTGATTAAGATTTATTCTACTAACTACAAAATTGTACTGTTTGACTGTACGTGGCACAGGTAATATAACACTCCTGTTTCATTCTTTCCATTCACAACCAGTGCAAAAATACTAATTTGTAAATTTTACAATTAATGTAGGCCCTGGACAAAAAAAAAAAAAAAAAAAAAAAAATCTGTCACAACCATAATGAGTGAAATTACACATATGATGGAAGCAAATAAATTTAAATTTCTTAAGATAAGGAATCTTTAAACTGAGATAAATTAATTATCACATCATGAGCAATTTGTATATTCAGTGTTCTCAATATTCAAAAGCTAGTAAAATGTACAACGGAATGGATACATATTTTCTCAAAATGGCCCAGGAATTTAATGCATCTAGACACAGAATTTCAAATCAACAAATATTATCAAAGATCTGTTGTGGTTTAAAACATAATGGAAATTGTTGGCATATTACAAGTCAAAAACTAACGTCTTCTATGCTTCTAAGTACACAATTTATATTTTTGTAACATACTCAATGGTTGTGTCTTGAATATCCAGTCATAAAAGTTGAAGACCTATAAAGTCTATTTTTTTTTCTTCTGGAGTGCTGCAATGCTAAGAAACAAACCCTCCACTCTGCCTGGACAAATTACTAGTACTGATATCTATTGCAGGTCAGATCACTGACTGGGAATGATAAAACATTTCAGTTACATTTAGTACATCTCTATTTTCTTCTTTTTTAATCAAAATTGTGGTGTATATATATCACACATTTGCATCTTAATGTGAATCAGATTCACTAGTTCCACTTGCATGAAATGCCTTAAATATCATAACAATTATATGGCCTATAAACCATTTTTATATTAATCATTTTATATTAATGTTTCAATTTTTAGTCCTATTAACACACACACACACACAGCCAAATGAAGAAAGGTAGGGAATGCCTTTAAATAAAAAAATCAACAAAACCACCAACTTTGCCATGCTTTGATTTCATACTGCATTCAATTCAAAATAAGTCTTTCTTCAAAAATTTTAGTTTGTAATACACCACCATGACATAATTTTTTCATAATAATTTCAAGCAGAGATAAAAAAAAAAAGGCCCCTGATCTTCAAGTTCATTTTACTGAACATTCCCCTCTTTTTGCTTTTATAAACTGCCCTAGCTGGTTTCACGTCACTCCTCTCCACTCCAGCATAATTTATCCAGGAATCTCATCCTTATTTTTTGATTCTTGGTCACTCATATCTGACAAGACAGACAGCTGCAGTCAACATCAAAATAACAGAAATGACAGATGGGAGATTGATTTCACATCCTGACCTGATGCTTGGTCCTAAATTGGGACAGGCAGGCCCCTGACATTCATCAGATTCTGAAATCAATGATTTAAAGAAGTCACATATCTGCCCAGCTCTATCTCTGGAATTACATATCATTCCATTATTAAAAAAAAAAAAAGATTTCCTTTTTATGTCTGTGCCAAGACAATATTTACTTCCTGAATTTTAACATAATTATATCGAAATATTTAAGTATAACAGGCACTTCGATTCATAACAAAGTATTCTTGAAATTAACCATTATGATAACAATTTGTTTTTCAATACTCACAACTAGATATACAAATGGACCATTTCATTATAAAAAAAAATATTGTTATTAAAATGTTGTGAGTCATTCATGGTTAAGTGAGCATTCATCAAAATCAAAGCCAATTTGTTTATACTTACCCAAAAGCATCACCGTGCTTGTTGTTCTGCCATATTTGTTGTAACCCTCACATTCGTACCGTCCATAATCGGTACTTTCGACATCAAATATTCTAAGATATAAAAATGAATCTGATACATCCATATTAGGATAACCATGACCAGACACAACCTCGATACTGTAGTCATTATCTGTATGCAATTTTTGGCGATAGCCGTCAGCCGACACTCTGTACCAGGCAAATTCTGGTAATGGCTCACCTGAAAAATTTGATCAAATATTTTTTGAAGAAAACTTAGAAGTTGATTCCTAGTCCAAAAACATAGAATTGAGGAAGTCACAAAGAGACTTTTTTATTAGCAAGCTCCATGAAAATATGTTGTTTGGTGGTAACATAAAAATATATTGTTTGGTGGTCAATGTCAATGAGAATAAAACCCATCCCCAACCCTTACAAGTTAAAAAGCCCAAATTTCATGTAAGAGAGTCATCTAAAAAGAGAGGCTGTCCTTGACACAGCCTATAAACTAACTTCAGAACACCCATAAGTTTATGTGAAAAGGTCTTTAGTAATGCCACATCTACCACAATAAGCTAACAAAGAAAAAGAACATCAGTGCAGCTATTTTCATCATATTGAATATACAACTTGAAATGTACACCAACAATCTTTAATAGTACTTATTAAATATCTTACAATCCACAAACAATCTATATCATCACTTGCTAACTTTTTACCTGAGATTATACACTCCAGTGTAACTTCAAATGAACCTGGGGCTTGGTACCTCTCTTTAAATGATGCCTTTCCAGTTGGCTTAAAGGCCACTACTAATTTAACCGTAGCTTCGGCTGGTTGATTGACATCATTATTAGCAGTGCACCTGTATGAGCCTCCAGCATCCCTCGTTACATTTCGCAGGGAAAGTGTGGTATTCTAGATGGATAAAACGTTGTATGTAGAAGTTATACAATAACATATTTGCAGTCAGTTCTGCATTTTGGGTACATATTGCTGGACTAGGTTGCAGTTTCTTTCATAAAATTAAAAATCTACCAGAATAATTGACTTTTCAATTAAAAAATTCATTTTCAAGTCTCAAAATCTATTGAACAGTTCAACAGTACTATAGTACAATATATGGGTTTTACCCACCACATAAATTTTCCTTCAGAAGAAAGTGATTTTCTACTACCCACAACTCATTCCTAGACCCATTCTTGCACTTAGAATCTATATTCTATTCCAAATGTAATTTTTAAATTAATGATTTATTTCTAGATAATTGATTGGCCATGTCTCCCTCTCCCTTTCATAAGGAACTATCAATGAAAGGTGCTTCCTATAAAGTTATATTTGAGGGGATTTAGAATTTTTAGTCTAAATTGGAAAAGATGGGTAGCTAAGCAGTATATGTATAGACACAGAATACATTGCTATATAATATGAAACTGTAGAAAATATGACTACATATGAAAATTTCAAACACGTAGAATGTAAATTTAATTTAGACTTACACTGAGGGAGTAAACCTCCCCAGGGAGCGGCAGTGGGCTACCATTAAGCCTAGTCCATGTGACCACTGGGGTGGGTGTCCCAGCAGCTGTACAGGTCAAATTAACATCCTTACCCCTCTCTACCTCCACTGATGCTGGAGCATGAATGATATATGGTCTAACTAGAAAAAGAGAACAGATACAAAAGATAAAATCAACAAGTAAAATTAAAATTTCTGTGCACTAATTTCCAGCTCTTGGTCACATTTTTTTTTTGGGGGGGGAATAGCCTGAAAGACTTAATGAGGTGCATTTTCCCTTAACAATTCAAACAAATATATTGGTCATTTACTTAATGCACAGTCACATTTTTGCCACAATAAAGTATACAATTGAATTTTACTTAAAGACTTGCAAACTGTGACTTCGGGGTATATATATTGTAATCCCTGCTGGTTTACACTTTGAAATGCAAAGTTCAGGTCATAAAATTATGGCTACCATCTGTAGATTACGATGATATTCTATCATGAAAACTGTAAAGTGAGTGTTTTGAAACAAATTGGATATTTAAAATTATGCACCCAGTATTATCTTGATAATACTTCACAAAATCATACTGCTGCTCCAGGCCATTATTTAGGCATCCCAAAACAAGGCCCTAAACAAGAGGCAGTTATTATACTAAACCTTATATTGGAAGTATAAAATACTGTCAAACACAGTCTTATCTTTTTACAATACATACTCCAAGGATATTTGAAATATATACCATAGCAGCACAGCAAACAAATGAATGACTCAGATTAGATAAGACATATGTAAATTAGCTAAGCTGGGTGCTACTTAAACATACCATGGCTGGCTGACCCTCTAGTTCTGGATATTATAAAGGGAGAGCAAAACATTTTATGACTCCCCCCCCCCTCCAAGCAAATGAGACAATTTCAAAAAAAAATTAGTGCCATTTAGAGCAATTCAAACCTATGAAAAGGCATAATTTGAATCTTCTCTCTGTCTTTGTGCAATTCTGTGGGCTGGTGCCAAAATCACCAAATAGGGAGGGAGATAGGCAAGGTCAACCTTTGATTAATGAGCACAAAACCACCCATCCCATACTTTACAAATAAGCATAAATCTACCCACCCTAAACTTAAAAAAATTTTTTTTTTTTGCATAATTCCAAAAGAAAACAAGTCCAATTTGATAAAAGAACTAATTAAATATCTCACACAGTAAGATTAAGACTTTCACAGTATATACATACAGTGGAATGGGTATAGCATGGGTACGTATTAGCAACAAGCCGAAACTTTACAAATAGCTTACCAGGGATGGTTAGCAGCCCAACCTTGCATGGGTACAAGCTGGGGTTAGTTCCTTGAATGGTCACCTTGCAGATATACTGGCCACTGTCGGACTGTTCAAGCTGATTGATGACCAGAGTGGATAAGGTATTCTGATTTTCCGGATCAGTTGTGATCTCAATCTCATACTGAAAGTGAAAGTGGGTCACCAATTATTTCCTATGCTATGTTTAGAATAGGATAGATGAAAGGGATAATAACTCTTCGTATGAGATCTGTATTTCACAATAAAACATTGTGAATAACTCATATAAATATAATATATTGTTTTACGACAAAAAACAGCAGTTATAGCTTTTATTCTGATATCTGCGCTGGTCTTCAGATCACGTGACCTCCATTGATGGCTATACTCTGTTATAATCTCTTAAGAGATTTTATCAAAAAACCAAACTAAAAAAAAAAAAAAAAAAACAGGGACTAACTTTGAATGTAAAAATGGATTCATTAACCATTGGTAAGTATGGGAAAATTGTTTTTTACTCCAGGAAAATTCATTTTTTGGCCAGAACGAAGAGTTTTTATCCCTTTAATATCACCCAATGGATGGAGCCACCAGCCACTTAAATGCATTCAATTGGGGAAAGAACCCACTTCAATGTTTTTTTAACAACAGAAGTCACATATTTCATAAAAGAAACAAGAAAAAATGCCTTGGATAGTGTTTTGAAGGAAAGAGTTGGAATGAATGAGGTAAAATTGGTGTAGGTAAACATACTGTAACCATAAAGATGCACCATATATTTTTAAAGACTACATCTATACTCACCCTTTGTTCTTCATGATCAAAAATAACCTCTTGGTCCCCAGCGTAGAGATGCCGATCTTCATGATACCAGTGAATCTAAAATAATTCAACATATTTCATGCTCTTTATACAGGGTCCTCTTTATAAAACTTTCTGAAATTCATAAACCAGTTCTTGGCTAAAGACAGAAACATAAATTTGGTTCTATTTCGGTCCTGGATAAATGTGTAGTACTAGTAGTCTACTTCATTTATATATCTGGCTATATGACAAACTAACTTGCCATATCTTACATTTGGTAAATCAGACCCAGCAACCTTTCTTTTACTGGACTTCTACTGGTTAACCTCAAGTAAAATTGAAAGTTAAAAAAGAAAGCCATTACTTTTGATTGAAATTTAAGAAATAAAAATCAGAACTATTTAGTTCATATTTGTCCATGCAGAATATATTATGAATAATTTACACCTTACATTATGGACAAGCCAATTTTTTTTGAGAAATGCCAAAAATAAAAAAGCCTCATAGGGAGGAAAAAAGGGAGCATTCAGATAAACCCATCATACTAGCTGGATCAATCCAATTCTGTAAGAGATTCCCCCAGAGAGCAATCACTGTAATGGTCACATCTGATACATACTCCTAGAGCTGCTAGGGGATAAATAAGCCAAAAAAGCTAATTACCCCTTATACCCCCTTTACACTGGACGGCGACCTTTCTGCGTCCTTTCTGCGACCATGAAATTTGGCATCGTTGTGGTCTTAATAAGGAGGCACAAGCATTGTTTTTGTATGAGAATGAATGCTCAATGATCGGCCAGTTGTCGGCATGTAAAATATTATAATTTTTAACTCTCAAATGGGGCCGTACTGCTGGACGCAGAAAGGACGCTGCCCAGTGTAAAGGGGCCCTTAGCTGCTAGTCAGACAATTAAGCTGATTACACTGCATGCAATTTAGTGAGAATTAATCCCCTGCAGAGTTGGGTCGATTCATCTCATATGATGGGTTTAACTGAACGCTCCCTACGCAATACTTACAACATTACTTTGAAGCTGGCTTACAACACACGTAAGTCTGGCTGTGCCAGCAATGGCCACAACTTCTGGAATGATTTCTTGGGTGATTTTAGTTTGTGACCCAGACTGGCCACTGTTACTCCCACATCCTGCTACAGAAAAAAAAGAGATCAGTTGATTAATTGCCCACTTGTGCACGTGCGTTTCATATGTAAACATCTGGTCTTGACTGCGATTCGGAGTTACTCCGATTTAACCCAGCTCCCAATTTGGGTTTATTTCGACCGCGGTCAGGGGTACGTCGTCCATTCACATTAGAAAAGTTAACAGCGATAGGACCGAGAATAGCCTATGTGTGAGTTTTTTTGTTTGACCAAGCTTTTGTTTGAAGCTTAAGGCAAGTGCCATGGAAGCACTGATCTGCTTTTAAAATAATGGCGGGCTCAAAGGTATGTTTAGTCACGCTCACATTTTTTAAGACCGTGTTTTTACATACATTAAAGAGATAATAACTCTTCNATTTTTTTTTTTTTTTTTTTTTTTGTGGTTTTTCATAGTTAGATGGGTGCATATGGCCACAGTTTAATCCAAGTGAAATTCTCATTGAAGAGGTCAGTTTAGGGAAGGTTGTCTCGACAAAAATTGACATAAAAGATTTCCATAAAGGCGCATTACAAACTTGGAACTGATTTTCGATAGATTGAACGTCTGATCCAATGAATCATGAATGGTCTTTTCTAATAAAATCCCACAAAACATGTCTTTCCTGATATTATTTCTTATGCAAATTGAACAAAAAACAACAATATCTTAATTTTTAAGTAATTTATTTCTTCATTTGTGAGTTCTAATGGAAAATATACTAATAACAACCTGAAGCATTTCACCTGGCCCATAGGCTGAAAAGATTTTGGGCAAGGGTGATCTTGCTAGGTTGATGTAAAATACAATTTTTAAAAATAATTTTATCAGTAAATGATTCTGTTTGTATTCCCTGATAGGCAATAGTCTCCTCTGCCTCAACCTAGTGACACGTTTCTGCTATAAAGCCTTTATGACCACCAATAAAAATTTATGACGAATACATTTGGAAATGCCTCAATTTGATCTTAACAAGCAGGAGGGGCATGGAGCCTTACATTCAACACATTCACAGACATTACCATTGTCAACTTGGATTTTTTTTACTTCAAAGACAATATATTTGGTAAGCCAAGCACTCCTGTTAGGTCACTGACTGTTATAAAATGCTACGATATAATGAAGCTACATAATCCAAATAGTTACAAAGATTATGAAAATCAGCTGAGTTCTGCCATTTTTAAGTTACATAAGGTCCACTCAAACAAGAGAGCACTCTAGTACTACAAGCCATCTTCAAGCAAACTGGTATAGAAGGGATTAATTTACCATCAGAAATTAGCTCATCATTTCGATCATAATCTAACTATGTAACAAGTCCATCTATATATGATGTATAAGTATTTTCTGGCAAAGTAAAAATTGTTAAAAGCCCATTTTGCCATTTTTATGAGCCTTTGTTGGCTTGATCATATAGTAATAGTGCATATACTTACAATAGTAAAATATTAATGAGGAATATCAATCATCAAAATGACTTATGTACATATGACCACGTTATAATGATTATATTTGCCACAATGTTATCTTGCAGAAATATGGCAACAAAAACCTAAGAAACAATGCTTCCCATGTTAAAACTGTAAATAGTATATCAGTGAACCTATAATATCCTGGTAAAATATACACATTTATGTGAAAAAATAGGAATTGGACTCAACAAACTTCCAATTATATACAGGGCATGCAAAAGATACATTTTTTTTTTTTTTTTGGAAAAAATATCTCGACCAATCTACAATGGTGAAATTAACCATTTCACAAGTAATGGTCCAAGGAAAGGCGTTTACAGCCAGAATAGCCCCCCCCCCCCTTTAACCACGAGTGACATGGTTCACTTAAACGGAAAAACCTTATCAGCGGAGTTGTGCACTTAGTATAAAGCAGCAGTTTTTCTTCATATCTACAGCCTTCTTTGCATTAGAAGTGCACTACATTTTAAAAAATTAAGCTGTAAATTGTAGAAAAATTACTTCTTTAATCTTAGAACAATAAGTATACCTTGTACATCCAAGTAATGTTTATTAAAATAACATGGCTAATTGCTAATTGTATTTTGTTAAATCTTGAAAATTAGGCCCAGGGAACGCAGTCCTCTGCAACATACACTTCATACATGCGGTACGTGTTGGAAAATTGGTTATCATACAAATTGTCCTTTTATAATTTCTAAATAAAATAAAGTATCATGCAAAGATACCTTTCGTAAAAATTCAGTACATTAGGTATCTTAGACAGTCCTGGCCACTTATGTTTATATTTTATTTTTTTTTGTGTATTTACAATGCTTATGAAATGGCTATCCTTTGCCATAAAAAAATTGTTAAGAGTAGGCCTTTTAATGTCTAGTGTTACATGACCTGGGCCTACAAGAACCTTCAATAAAAATGGCATTGGTTTGAAAAAAATATTAGAACTGATTAAGATTTATTCTACTAACTACAAAATTGTACTGTTTGACAGTACGTGGCACAGGTAATATAACACTCCTGTTTCATTCTTTCCATTCACAACCAGTACAAAAATACTAATTTGTAAATTTTACAATTAATGTAGGCCTTGGACCAAAAAAAAAAAAAAAATCTGTCACAACCTTAATGAGTGAAATTACACATATGATGGAAGAAAATAAATTTAAATTTCTTAAGATAAGGAATCTTTAAACTGAGATAAATTAATTATCACATCATAAGCAATTTGTATATTCAGTGTTCTCAATATTCAAAAGCTAGTAAAATGCACACAGGAATGGATACATATTTTCTCAAAATGCCCCAGAAATTTAATGCATCTAGACACAGAATTTCAAATCAACAAATATATCCAAAGATTGGTTGTGGTTTAAAAACAATGTTGAAATTGTTGGTGTATTACAAGCCAAAAACTAATGTCTTCTATGCTCCTAAGTACATAATTTATATTTTTGTAACATACACAATGGTTGTGTCTTGAACATCCAGTCATAAAAGTTGAAGACATAAAGTCTTTTTTTTTTTGGAGTGCTGCAATGTTAAGAAACAAACCCTCCACTATGCCTGGACAAATTACTAGCACTGATATCTATTGCAGGTCAGATCACTGACTGGGAATGATAAAACTTTTCAGTTACATTTAGTACATCTCTATTTTTTCTTTTTTAATCAAAATTGTGGTGTATATATCGCACATTTGCATCTTAATGTGAATCAGATTCACTAGTTCCACTTGCATGAAATGCCTTAAATATCATAACAATCATATGGCCTATAAACCATTTTTATATTAATTTTTTTATATTAATGTTTCAATTTTTAGTCCTATCAACACACACACACACAGCCAAAAGAAAAAAGGTAGGGAATGCCTTTAAATAAAAAAAAAAATCAACAGTACCACCAACTTTGCCATGCTTTGATTCCATACTGCATTCAATTCAAAATAAGTCTTTCTTCAAAAATTTTAGTTTGTAACACACCACAATGACATAATTTTTTCATAATAATTTCAAGCAGAGATTAAAAAAAAAAGCCCCCTGATCTTCAAGTTCATTTTACTGAACATTCCCCTCTTCTTGCTTTTATAAACTGCCCTAGCTGGTTTCACGTCACTCCTCTCCACTCCAGCATAATTTATCTGGGAATCTCATCCTTATTTTTGATACTTGGTCACTCATATCTGACAAGACAGACGGCTGCAGTCAACACCAAAATAATAGAAATGGCAGAAGGGAGATTGATTTCACATCCTGACCTGATACTTGGTCCTAAATTGGGACAGGCAGGCCCCTGACATTCATCAGATTCTGAAATCAATGATTTAAAGAAGTCACATATCTGCCCAGCTCTATCTCTGGAATCGCATATCATTCCATTATTCAAAAAAAAAAAAAAAAAAAAAAAAAAGATTTCCCTTTATGTCTGTGCCAAGACAATATCTACTTCCTGAATTTTAACATAATTATATCGAAATATTTAAGTATAACAGGCACTTCGATTCATAACAAAGTATTCTTGAAATTAACCATCATGATAACAATTTGTTTTACAATACTCACAACTAGATATACAAATGGACCATTTCATTGTAAAAAAAATTATTGTTATTAAAATGTTGTGAGTCATTCATGGATAAGTGTGCATTCATAAAAATCAAAGCCAATTCGTTTAATACTTACCCAAAAGCATCACCGTGCTTGTTGTGCGGCCATATTTGTTGTAACCCTCACATTCGTACCGTCCATAATCGGTACTTTCGACATCAAATATTCTAAGATATAAAAATGAATCTGATACATCCATATTAGGATAACCATGACCAGACACAACCTCGATACTGTAGTCATTATCTGTATGCAATTTTTGGCGATAGCCGTCAGCCGACACTCCGTACCAGGCAAATTCTGGTAATGGCTCACCTGAAAAATTTGATCAAATATTTTTTGAAGAAAACTTAGAAGTTGATTCCCAGTCCAAAAACATAGAATTGAGGAAGTCACAAAGAGACTTTTTTTATTAGCAAGCCCCATGAAAATATGTTGTTTGGTGGTAACATAAAAATATATTGTTTGGTGGTCAATGTCAATGAGAATCAAACCCATCACCTTACAAGTTAAAAAGCCCAAATTTCATGTAAGAGAGTCATCTAAAAAGAGAGACAGTCCTTGACACAGCCTATAAACTATCTTCTGAACACCCATAAGTTTATGTGAAAAGGCCTTTAGTAATGCCACATCTACCACAATAAGCTACCAAAGAAAAAGAACATCAGTGCAGCTATTTTCATCATATTGAATATACAACTTGAAATGTACACCAACAATCTTTAATAGTACTTATTAAATATCTTACAATCCACAAACAATCCATATCATCACTTGCTAACTTTTTACCTGAGATTATACACTCCAGTGTAACTTCAAATGAACCTGGGGCTTGGTACCTCTCTTTAAATGATGCCTTTCCAGTTGGCTTAAAGGCCACTACTAATTTAACCGTAGCTTCGGCTGGTTGATTGACATCATTATTAGCAGTGCACCTGTATGAGCCTCCAGCATCCCTCGTTACATTTCGCAGGGAAAGTGTGGTATTCTAGATGGATAAAACGTTGTATGTAGAAGTTATACAATAACATATTTACAGTCAGTTCTGCATTTTGGGTACATATTGCTGGACTAGGTTGCTGTTTCTTAAAAATCTACCAGAATAATTGACTTTTCAATTAAACAATTCATTTTCAAGTCTCAAAATCTATTGAACAGTTCAACGGTACTATAATATATGGGTTTTACCCACCACATAAATTCCTTCAGAAGAAAGTGATTTTCTACTACCCACAACTCATTGCTAGACCCATTCTTGCACTTAGAATCTATATTCTATTCCAACTGTAATTTAATGATTTACTTCTAGATAATTGATTGGCCACGTCTCCCTCTCCCTTTCATAAGGAACTATCAATGAAAGATACTTCCTAAAAAGTTATATTTGAGGGGATTTACAATTTTTAGTCTAAATTGGAAATGGTGGGTAGCTAAGCAGTATATGTATAGACATAGAATACATTGCTATATAATATGAAAATGTAGAAAATATGACTCCATATGAAAATTTCAAACACGTAGAATGAAAATTTAATTTAGACTTACACTGAGGGAGTAAACCTCCCCAGGGAGCGGCAGTGGGCTACCATTAAGCCTAGTCCATGTGACCACTGGGGTGGGGGTCCCAGCAGCGGTACAGGTCAAATTAACATCCTTACCCCTCTCTACCTCCACTGATGCTGGAGCATGAATGATATATGGTCTAACTAGAAAAAGAGAACAGATACAAAAGATAAAATCAACAAGTAAAATTAAAATTTCTGTGCACTAATTTCCAGCTCTTGGTCACATTTTTTTTGGGGGGGGGATAGCCTGAAAGAATTAATGAGGTGCAATTTTCCTTCACAATTCAAACAAATATATTGGTCATTTACTTAATGCACAGTCACATTTTTGCCACAATAAAGTATAAAATTGAATTTTCCTTAAAGACTTGCAAACTGTGACTTCGGGGTATATATATATATATATATATATATATATATATATATATATATATATATATATATATTGTAATCCCTGCTGTTTTACACTTTGAAATGCAAAGTTAAGGTCATAAAATTATGGCTACCATCTGTAGATTACGATAATAATCTATCATGAAAACTGTAAGGTGAGTGTTTTGAAACAAATTGGATATTTAAAATTATGCACCCAGTTTTATCTTGATAATAATTCACAAAATCATACTGCTGCTACAGGCCATTATTTAGGCATCCCAAAACAAGGCCCTGAACAAGAGGCAGTTATACTAAACCTTATATTGGAAGTATAAAATACTGTCAAACACAGTCTTATCTTTTTACAATACATACTCCAAGGATATTTGAAATATATACCATAGCAGCACAGCAAACAAATGAATGACTCAGATTAGATAAGACATATGTAAATAAGCTGAGCTGAGTGCTACTTAAACATACCATGGCTGGCTGACCCGCTAGTTCTGGATATTATAAAGGGAGAGCAAAACATTTTATGACCCCCCCCCCCCCCTCCAAGCAAATGAGACAATTTCAAAAAAAAAATTAGTGCCATTTAGAGCAATTAAAACCTATGAAAAAGCATAATTTGAATCTTCTCTCTGTCTTTGTGCAATTCTGTGGGCTGGTGCCAAAATCACCAAATAGGGAGGGAGATGGGTAAGGTTAACCTTTGATTAATGAGCACAAAACCACCCATTCCATACTTTACAAATAAGCATAAATCCACCCACCCTAAACTTAAAAAAAATTTTTTTTTGCATAATTCCAAAAGAAAACAAGTCCAATTTGATAAAAGAACTAATTAAATATCTCACACACCAAGATTAAGATTTTCACAGTATATACATACAGTGGAATGGGTATAGCATGGGTATTAGCAACAAGCCGAAACTTTACAAATAGCTTACCAGGGATGGTTAGGAGCCCAACCTTGCACGGGTACAAGCTGGGGTTAGTTCCTTGAATGGTCACCTTGCAGATATACTGGCCACTGTCGGACTGTTCAAGCTGATTGATGACCAGAGTGGATAAGGTATTCTGATTTTCCGGATCAGTTGTTATCTCAATCTCATACTGAAAGTGAAAGTGGGTCACCAATTATTTCTTACGCTATGTTTAGAATAGGATAGATTAAAGGGATAATAACTCTTCGTATTAGACCTATATTTCACAATAAAACGTTGTGAATAACTCATAGAAATATAATATTTTGTTTTACAACAAAAAACAGCAGTGATAGCTTTTATTCTGATATCTGCGCTTGTCTTCAGATCACGTGACCTCCATTGATGGCTATACTCTGTTATAATCTGTGAAGAGATTTTATCAAAAAACCAAACTTTTTAGAAAAAAAACAAGGACTAACTTTGAATGTAAAAATGGATTCATTAACCATTGGTAAGTATGGGAAAATTGTTTTTTACTCCAGGAAAATTCATTTTTTGGCCAGAACGAAGAGTTATTATCCCTTTAATATCACCCAATGGATGGAGCCACCAGCCACTTAAATGCATTCAATTGGGGAAAGAACCCACTCCAATTTTTTTTTAACAACAGAAGTCACATATTTCATAAAAGAAACAAGAAAAAATGCCTTGGATAGTGTTTTGAATGAAAGAGTTGGAATGAATGAGGTAAAATTGGTGTGTCTGAAAAAAGGTAAACGTACTGTAACCATAAAGGTGCACCATTTATTTTTAAAGACTACATCTATACTCACCCTTTGTTCTTCATGATCAAAAATAACCTCTTGGTCCCCAGCGTAGAGATGTCGATCTTCATGATACCAGTGAATCTAAAATAATACAACATATTTCATGCTCTTTATACAGGGTCCTCTTTATAAAACTTTCTGAAATTCATAAATCAGTCCTTGGTTAAAGACAGAAACATAAATTTGGTTCTATTTCGGTCCTGGATAAATGTGTAGTACTAGTAGTCTACTTGATTTATATATCTGGCTATATGACAAACTAACTTGCCAAATCTCACATTTGGTGAATCAGACCCAGCAAGCTTTCTTTTACTGGACTTCTACTGGTTAACCTCAAGTAAAATTGAAAGTTAAAAAAGAAAACCATTACTTTTGATGGAAATATAAGAAATAAAAATCAGAAATATTCAGTTCATATTTGTCCATGCAGAATATATTATGAATAATTTACACCTTACATTATGGACAAGCCAATTTTTTTTGAGAAATGCCAAAAATAAAAAAAGAAACACATAGGGAGGAAAAAAGGGAGCATTTGGATAATTCCATCATACTAGCTGGATCAATCCAATTCTACAAGAGATTCCCCCAGAGAGCAATCACTGTAATGGTCATATCTGATATACACCTAGAGCTGGTAGGGGATATATAAGCCAAAAAAGCTAATTACCCCTTAGCTGCTAGTCAGACAATTAAGCTGATTACACTGCATGCAATTTAGTGAGAATTAATCCCCTGCAGAGTTGGGTCGATTCATCTCATATGATGGGTTTAACTGAACGCTCCCTACGCAATACTTACAACATTACTTTGAAGCTGGCTTACAACACACGTAAGTCTGGCTGTGCCAGCAATGGCCACAACTTCTGGAATGATTTCTTGGGTGATTTTAGTTTGTGACCCAGACTGGCCACTGTTACTCCCACATCCTGCTACAGAAAAAAAAAGAGATCATTTTATTAATTGCCCACTTGTGCGCGCACGTTTCATATGTAAACATCTGGTCTTGACTGCGATTCGGAGTTCACTCCGATTTAACCCAGCTCCCAATTTGGGTTTATTTCGACCCCAGTCAGGGGTAAGTCGTCCGTTCACATTAGAAAAGTTAACAGTGATAGGACTGAGGTCAGGCCTTGACTGCGGTCCAAAGTGCTAGTGTGAATAGCCTATGTGTGAGTTTTTTTGTTTGACCAAGTTTTAGTTTGAAGTTAAGGCAAGTGCCATGGAAGTACTGATCTGCTTTTAAAACAATGGCGGGCGCAAAGGTATGTTTAGTCACGCTCACATTTTTTAAGACTGTGTTTTTACATACATTAACTTTTTGGCCCTCTTATTTGCTTTGCTCAATTGAATTCTTCTGCATGCCTACCATAGCTTTGCAGCCATCTTCTTTACATAGGTTTTAAAACAATTCTGACAAAAAATGACTGTTTCTCTTTGGATTTCTGTTTTTTCTGCTTTTTTTTTTTTTATAAATTAAATGGAAAGGCCGAAATATATCATAATCAAAAGGTTGACAACTTTTCGTTTGGCCAAAAAATAGATTTCCCAAGGGTAAAGGACAATTTCCCCATATCTAGTTTTTGAATTAAAATGCTAATCTACACCGAGTTAATTATGTGGGAACTTTGTCTCTGCCATTCAAATAAATTAGTTTGGAAATTTACCAACCTATTATTGGTATATTTTTTAAAGAAGCCTTAAAGTTTCATTTGAAAAACAACTTAAAATTAGTAAATGATACCAAACTAATTGATTTGAGTAGCGAAGACATTTCTCAAAGTCCCCACACAAATTAATCACAGACTTTTATGGGGGGGGGGGGGGGGGGGGTACTGAAAAAGTGCCAATATTAAAACCAATTTTGGTCCAATTTTTCGCTTTATAGTGTATATTAGTGCGGTGTTACCAAGACCAAGGACGTATAATATATACGTCCTTGCCAAGACCTTGTATTTTCTTTCATTTTAGATTAATATTTATAAACATTTCAAGGTGAAACTGAAAGCCAAGTGTTGGACCAACGGTCATTTAATTTTCTCAAAAGTTTATCAGATTTTTGTACCAGCGTTCAATCATTAGAAAGTGATGGTAAAGGCTTGACTCTCAAAATTTAAACCATTGAAGTTGAACTGCGCCATTTTGCCAGTTTAAACTTTTTACCTGCCATTAATGTACTTACCACCACTGCTTGTCCCAATAAGCATGATAATACACAGAGCTTGTTCCCACATTTTGATTGTTTGATTTACTTGGAATAAACCTGGAATGTAATCTTTAAAAACAAACACACACATGCAGGTAAGGTCTCTAGTACGGCTCCCAGAACAGGTATTTTTTAAGTCAAAGCATTGATGACCTCATTTTCACCTGTCACGTGACCACGTGGGTGCATGCCGGGAATAGCTCAGTGACTCACCTGTACAGAGTTTACGCACCTGGATAACTAACACCTGACTCAGGTTCCGCACAAATACATGTATCAAGCGATGATTTTGAACCAGATATGCGTCTAAACCTAACTTATTCCTATATTTTCACAAATGTCTTTTGTATTATCTTACTACAAATAACGATAAAATAACCATTAAATAATTAATTAATCCTTTTTCTCATCGTACAGATGTGGCCTATTGAGCAGTCGGACGTGGATAAAATGAGTCACGAAAAGCGTCTGTGCAACGGTGTCGCGAATCCACGGCATCAAGAAAGGGAGTCTTCCCACCCCTTTCCGTTTCCCCTGTAGTATTACACAATGGCGTTGTATATATTTTTTCCTTAATAGAGAATAATTTGGTTTCTAGACTTTATAAATTGTTTTGAAAATTGGGAAAGCTGCAAAGAAATAGTTTAGAAAATTTGGGGCAGAACGCAGGTCAAAACATAACTAGCTAAGAATGACTTTTCTTGGCATCATTTATGCCCCTATTTCACACAGACCACGAATCCCACGAATCACCAGGAATTGACAGATTTCAGGATTCGTGGTCTGCGTGAAATAGGGGCATAACACATCTAACATACGACAGTAGGCCTTCCATTTGGCATATCGATGTCCATACTAAAATACAAATTTAACGTTTATATTTAGACCACTCTAGACGAGTTAACTGTTATATTTTTAGAATGAAAACATGAGGGACTATCTTAACGTTGAAACTTTCTTTAACACAGATAAAAAGGCCCGTAGCTGTGAGGAAAGACGCCTGACATACTGGTAATATTATGTGTCATCTGGCGGAGATCGATACTGAAAGTGGTTGTCACGCACACCTACAAAGCGGAGGGTCAGTTGAATCACCGTGATTAGGCAAAATCACTTTAACAGAGACAGGCGACTGCCCCTACGTAATACATAGATTGCTAAAGTGTTAATCACCTACGGACATAAGAATTTTACTTTACATAACAACTTCTAACAGCCAAAAGTTAGTTTTAAACATAGGTGCCCACATCAAATGGTATTATTTACGATGTATATAGATTTTATAAAATCATGTGATTTTATTTGATATTTCTGGTCATAAACTGGACATGAATCTTTTCATAACCACTCCTCGTGTTAGATATGTTTTAGCTGAACTGCTGAACACAGTATAGGGATCATTCCAAATGACACTATCGTTCTAATTCAACCCGCGGAGACTCCTGCTGAATGCAATTAGATTAACAGATTAATTAGCGCGCCTCTTCTTGTTTCCAACGTCCTCACCAGATCTGCTTCATTCTACTCAATGCCCTGAGGAGGCGTGTTAATCCGACAATCTGATTACATTCAGCAAGAGTCCCTGCGGGGTTGGATCGATCTAGAATTAAAACGATAGTTCTTTGGGAACGTGCCCTTCACTCTTCAGAATAGTTTATGCATATTTATATGGATTTTTTTTGCCTTTGGCATATAACTATTCTGTCTCCCAAAGCAATTATATACAGCGCTACATATGCCAGAAGCGTTTTTGACGTGGTTGAAAACTAAACAACGTTTTATTCACACCTTGTTCGGTTTTCGAATATGAAAGTTGGCCGTCGGATGCGCTGGTTTATCATGGTGAAAGTTAAGTGGTTGATGACTTTGTTTTACGTCGTAGGAATTGTAATATTCATTGTGATAATGCTACGATCACTGTCCCACCGCCAGAATTCGAACTTAGCAAGAGAACACGACACTCTAGGAGCTGAGTCTCTACGCTTCAATGTGGTCCCCGTGTTTCCGACAGAAAGACAGAGCAAAGACCAGGACGATTACCATGACAACACCACTCCACACCGTGAAGTCGTCTACAAACACGACCGAGATAAAACGCTTGGACCTCCCAAAACGATATCCGATCCGTCTACAGTTGAACAAACAGACAGAGTGTCGATTTCTAATCAGTCGAATGCCTACCGGACTTGCCAACCCCAGAGACATGTCGTTTTTGTTAAAGTGTCCAGATGCGGTTCCAATACCATAGGGAATATTTTCAACCGGTTTGCTTACAACCATGCTCTGAATGTTTCCGTCTTGGTGAGAAGAGAGACAAAGGCGTATTTTCATCAAACAGACGGTCGTTCAGAACCATCTCAGCCCCGTCTGACAGCCAACATAGTCACCTTACCGTCTAATACCAATCTGAAAACAAAATATGACTTTGTGCTCTTTGACAAAACATATAACAAAACAATTCGCAGGAGCTTGGCCTATTCGGATACATTCGCAGTGACCTCTCTGCGACAGCCATGGTCCCAGTTTCAGTCGGCATTTTTCCACAATGGTGTTCACAGGGATCTTGGGATAACAAATGCAAACGAGATGCAAACTTTTCTGAAATATCCAAAATTCCTGAAAGCTGTTCGCTGCCGATCCCAAATCGCCGAGCGCACCCCCTATTCATATCCAGCGTGCATTAAAAATAGCATGGCACACGACCTGGGTTTCCCGCTGAATAAAACTTTGGCAAACAACATGACGTATATTGCCGAGTTTATACGACAAATCGACCGGGAGTTCGACCTTGTGATAATTTTGGAAAACGCCCTTGAGAGCTTGATCTTACTGAAACGCCGTCTCTGTTGGAGCATTGAAGATATGTTACATCTCTTACTCAATTTCAGTACCTCTTATACAAGGGCAATGGCCACGCAGACGACACAAAGTAAAACCTTTTACAATGTGACGACACAAAGCAAGGGGAACGCTAGTAATACACCTCAAAGTGAGACCAGCGGAAATGTGACTTCACAAGAAGAAGCAAACACTAGTGCTTATATTCAGGGTAGAACAAGTGAAAATGTGACAATACAAGGAAAGGTAAACACAAGTGTGACGACAAAAAGTGACGTTAAAAATGGCAAGATAAACCAAGAGAAAGCCAAAGGAACAGTAATGTCACCAGATGAAGTGAACACAAAAGGTAAAGCGGACGGAAATATGAAGTCACTTGGTAACACGAATGAAGGACTGAAGACAGAAGCCGGAGAAGAGGAAGAGGCGAAAAATCTGCATAGAAACTGGAGTCCCGTAGATTATGCCTTGTACAAACATTTCCTTGAAAAATTTCAGCAAAAATTGAGAGTTCAACCCAAAGACTTTTTTGACGAGGTCGAATACTTTAATGGCTTACTAGGGCAATTATATGACTTCTGCAAGGATGCTCAAAATAAAGTTAAGAAAATGAAAGTTTTGGCGCAGAAGTGGACCAAAGAATTCTTTGTATCTCCTCAGCATTGTGTTAAAATGCAAATGAGTGAAGGGGGCTTCTTTAAATTTTCGGAAGGTATCAAGTTGTAAGTGAGCTTTTCGAGATCAAAGCCTTTGTGAATTTTCACAATCATTGAAAAGGTAAATTGTTTTACTTTGACGCGACTTGAAATCAAGATTTAACACTCTAGTTAGACGTTAAATTGATTAAAAAACGTCTGATCAGTATTAATAAAAAGAAAACAGTCTGGTGCAGTCTTTTTCAGTTAATACCGTGCCATACATTTCATTTTGTTTAAAGCCTATTGTATACAGCTTGGCTAACATGCATGGTTCTACCGACGTTTTAAATTTCAGCTTGGTGTTTTTGAATCCTAACATGCGAAATAAATACAATATACTGGGATAAAGTTTTTACTGGTCGTACTATAATCAACCAGAGCACCCTTTGTTGATTGCGGAAATTAGATTCCCCACCGAAACCGCTATGGGTCTACGCTAAGGATACGCTATGGTCTACACAACTAGCACGGTTTGTATAAAATTATTTTATTGCATTCCATTTCTCAATTAAATTAAGGGAATACACATATTTATGTACAGTAAGTTTAATCAATACATCATTTGAAAAATGTGTATCGTTGAACCAGAAACTGAGGTTTATAACCTGTTTTTCATTAAATAAGACACATTTTTTTACAAATTAGCCTAGACGTCAAAATAACAACATTAAAAGTATAAATTTAGCAGAAAATTTTCTGTTTTTTATACAATTTCATATCATTTCATCTTCTTTGGGGAATATATTTATCTGGGACTGATGTTTGAAAGCACGCCTGAAGTTCTGTCATGATTGTTGACTTTCATAATAAAGTGATTGCCACTACGATGAAATGAATAGAAAGAACAGTATACAGCAATCTATGGAGGCGATGACCAGTTATCATAAATACAAAAATAACAGAAAAAGTGAAAGAATGAAAATGTCAATATTACTCTTGGTAAAAAATAAGTACATTTTATATACAACGAATTCTTTTGTGATCGTGAGGAGGAATTAGTGCCACATCTTCTGCTTTCTTCATTGTCCTCTAATACTTATTGTGCGATCACAATGTTTTCCTGTGTAAATGTGGCCTATAAATCTATATTCAGGAAAACTTACCTTAATGAACGCCCGTTCTGATGCCTATACTAGTACTAGTAAGCTTGTTGAAGTACGAACTCGTCGCAAAACAGAGTTTGATGTTATTTGTTCACAAATCCTTGACATCGAGTGATGCAGTCATCAATTATTATAAATTATCCGATCGCTGTCAATGATGTGTCTAGAAAATTGCAGTATATACAATCCGACCGTTGTTATTCCATCGGTGTGAACCAAAATATATATCCAGCAGTTAGTGTTGTAATCATGTCGCAATGTAATATACCATTTCCTTGAGGGTAGATAAGAGACGTGGTGGCGCTTTCCTCGCGTCCACGTGCAATCCATCTCTTGTCTGCACCTGTGCAAGGAAACGTAGGTTATGTCGTGACTGTGTCGTAACGACCCTGATCCATCCGTGCGGTAGGCATAATCCAACGTTAATATTTATGCATTGTGGCGTAGGCGATATCCTGGCGTACCATACGTGACGTTGTCGTTGATATCTCATATTATTTGCATGATGGGAACTTGCGTAACGTAGATGCTGGCAGTAGACTGAAAGGTTTTCATTCGACGACTTTCAGCATCTCTGCGTTAACCACTTTTATATTTTTCTTTCAGATAGGGCCTATTTGAATTCCTCCCAGTAGTATTATTGTAATCCTCTATAAAATAAATATGTGGACATCGGAAAGACTGACTGGCGTATTGTATACGTTTCTTGAAAGGAGTCTAAAAGATCTGATGCTGCAAACCTCAACGAAAATCACAACCTTTTAATCTTTGACAATTTAAGTTTTAATACCGCATTAAAATAAATGGAATGCTAGCCGCTAAGACTGTTACGAAGAGTAGTTTTCTATCGAGTTGCTCTCGGATTGTTCCAGACCGAACACTCCCCTGATTGTCGTAAGCCCAGCTGTCTTCCTCTGAAATTAACAGATCTTATTATGCTAGTATTTAAAGCCCTGCTTCCTTGTCAAGGCAAAGACATGTGAATTTTCTTTGTGTTAATGTTTTCTAGAAACTCTCTCTCTCTCTCTCTCACACACACACACACACACACACACACACACACACACACTTTCTCAAACAAAAATCAAAGATAAAAGTCAGTTCAAAACAAAGGAAAAACAATATATATATTACCTAGTAACCTGACTTTGGCTGTCGCTATTCCATAAGGGTTGACTGCCTCACAAGTATATTCATCATAGTCACCGGAATCAACGTCCACAATATGTAGTCTAAACAACACTTCGTCAGCTGTCAGGCCATTGCTGCCATAGGCAGCATTATCGGAGACGATACTTTCTATGTCGTAGTCGGAGCCAGAGAAGAGCGGCATCTTGTAGCCGTCAATCGTTCTGTACCAAGTCATCGTTGGACGGGGCGAACCTAAGAATTAGGATTATATATCTATATTCACTGACGGATCCTGGTTAGTGAACAACTTGTAATGCTAACGTGGGCCTCAGGCCGGATTTTTTTTCGTCTTGACCATGTACAATTGGGTGTCCTTCCCTTTTTTCACTTTTTTTTTTAATGGGAGGCAGGGGAGAGCAGTGTCAGTAAGATTTTCTTTGAAATGTATATGTATAAATAAGAGATAGAAAAAGAGAGAGTAATGAATAAATAGATGGATAATTTAATGAATGAACGAAGGAATTAATGAAAGTACGCATTAATGAATGAGTGATCAAATGAATAAATAAATGAATGCTACAAATGAGTGCAACCCACCGCCTATGATGCACTCCAGGTTGGCAGAAGCGTAAACCCCCTGGGGCTCCATCTCGAAGCTCTTCACCGCCCTGGCGGTGGGTTTGGTCATCACGTTCACCATTGCCTCTCCGAAGGCAGGTTTGTTAATGTCATTGACAGCGGTGCACACGTACACTCCCCTGGAGCCTTTTGTGATGTTTTTTAAGGTGAGAGCGGAACCCTGAAATGAAAAGAAACGGGTGTTATTTTTTCTTGTGAGAGATGTGCCCTAAAATGAAAAAGAATGGGTTTTCATTGTGTTTTTCACTGTAAGAGATGCACCCTGAAAGAAAAGGGCATTTTTGGTGAAAGATATTGAAGAGAAAGTTCACGAATTTTAATGGTCTGAAATCTTTGTCAGCTCAACAATCAAGAGCCCCAATCAAAGAGTTTTAACGAAAGTGATATAAATTTAAGGACCGTTTCCAACAGAGGCATTTTAAAATACGTATATAGTCGCATATAATATACCTTCAAATTCAAAACCGAGAGAGCTTCTGTTTAAACTGCTCTACGCCGCACAAGCAAATCATTTTTCTTTTTACTGCATACGTACCACGTATTCATAAGAACTCTCGTTTCCGTAGATCCCCAGCCCCTGTATGGGATGACCGTTTTTCCTGTGCCATGATACCTTTGGCTTCGGTTTTCCGGCAGCGTTACACTCAAGGGTGACGTTTCCGCCCTCACTGGCCTCTACGTTAGAGCTTATTTTACGAATCCAGGGCATTACTAAAAAGGTGACCACTTACAAAGTTAATCCACCTGTAGAGACGTTTAATTTGACAGTATCGGTATTGCCACCACTAAAATAGCTATGTGCTTAAACCTTGACACCTCGGCACGCACCTGTGACCACTTAAGTGATTAAAGTGGCCGTCTGCTTGATTGGATCTGGTCTGATTACAATTTAAATGCAGTGGTTATCGAATTTCTTTTACAGTCAAAAAATTTAGGAACTAAAAACAAGGAATGTGTAATGTCCTAGATAAAGGTTGTTTTAATGCCACTGATTCACCCCAGCAAAAAATGGACTATAAAAATGCCCAGTGTCTTAGATAAAGCCAAATATTGGATTGAAGACGTTTTACGACCAGGGCATAGAAAGGTTTACTTACTAGCAACAGTCAACAGTCCACTCCTCTTGGGCCATTTGTGAGAAGGTTCACCAAGGATCTGGACCATACACTGATACATCCCCCCGTCTGGTATTGAAGTGCGCCGGATTGTTAACACTGACGTTGTCTGCTCCCCAACAGTCGTCTGGTTCAACTCGTACTGAAACAAGATAGGAAAGTGTACACAGGAAAGCTTCGACGACATACGCCTGCAGATGCAAAAGCTGCTTTCACTCCTCAAAACCGTGTTTTCTGTCTTCTGCCTTCTTTGCTAGTCCATGGCTGTTGGGGTGTCTTGGATCTTTTTAAAGCCTAGGTCCCAACCGAACGTACGGGCTGCTACGTGTGGTCTACGGCCAAAAAAATGGGGAAAATGTGGGAGTTCGTGCGTGAGGAGCACGTCCATCGTGCGACTTTTGGAGGACGCAAACAGCACGTATGAACTTTTCGACATGATCAACAGCCGCTACGTGCGATCTAGCTACGTCCTAGCCAGACGCAAGGAACCTAAAAATCGTGCGTCCAAAACGTAGTTGGGACCTAGGCTTAAGTGACGGTCCATCAAAACGCTTTAACCAGAGAATTTCCGAATTTAAGGAGAAGACGGCTCATTGGCCTTCCTCTCATTGTCGAACGCTTACTACTACACGTACCTGTTTGTAAGATGAACGTATATTCTTACATTTCTATTGTACGTGTCTTGTTCAAAGCTCTCACCACTGCGCGACACGCGTCATGGTGGATGCCAAATCTGAGAGGAATGACGTAACTATGTGATTTCGGTAAGCCATATGTAATGGGCCGTTTCTTCAAATGAATTTGCTAAACCCGAGCAATGCAGGATAAAAAGAATACTTTGAACGTACATTTTAATATATTATCATTTTCATTAAAATCAAGTTATCAAGTATTTACGAGTTTGGAAGGGACAAAGGCGATTGTCGGTAAACATACGAAAGCGGTTTAGGTCGTCTTGATTATTTGAGACTAGATCTCGCGCTAAAGTCCCATTTATGTTTATGTTAAGGAATATTCACCATCAGAAGCCGTTTGGTAAGTAATTACCTTGTTCCTATCATGTGTAGCAATCAAATTGTCACCGCCAAAAAGATGCTTCACTCCGACAGCGCTGTCATTTAAAAAGTACCAGTGCACCTGCAAAGAATGCCTTATTAGTATAACCACGATTAAATTGATATCGATCTATTAAGAACAAAATATTTTTGCATGTGTGTCTTAGCTCTGATGTTCCGATTCCATGGGTGCCAGCGATTTTATATTTAAGTTTCCATTTTCAACAAGTTTCTATATTGAACTGCAAGAATCTGAAACTAAGGGCAGCTAACATATCAGACCTAAGCGGGAGTTGTAAAAATATTTTTTTTTACCTTTTTCACACCCCAACCATCTCTACTCCACCCCCTCCCCCTGACCTTCTTAGGGCCTAGATCCTCAATTACACCGTTCACTCAGTGTTACCCACTGCCCTCGAGAAGAGCAAAAGGGACAAAAGGGCACATTTAAAAGAAATTTCAATAGTAAAGGCTATAGTTCGTGAATGCACCGTCCTACCACGTTTTTGTTCAACTGACTGATGTAGCAGGTGAGACGACCGTCATTGCCCCTGGGGATGACGTAGGGAACGATGTCTTTCGTTATCCCTACTTTCAGTTCTGAAACAGAGAAGGTATTTATACAATTAATCTAGTGACAGTTTGAATTGAGTTTGAATTGGTACCATGTCTAAAAAATAAACTGAACTGAAAAATGTACACATTTTCATCTATTATGCGGTATATTTGTTGCGTGCACACACACGTGACTCTTCCAAAACAATCAGTGTCACAGCCATAGGCACAACTACTGCATCGCATACAGAAATGCGTTCTTCTGTTACGCTTGGCCTTCCCTCTCCCCTCTCCAAATAAGAAGAGAGAGAGAGGGGGAAGTTTTCAATGTAGCATTCGGGAATAATTTCAACTATCTTAACAACATAAACTTCAAATAATCGATAACTCCTGATATACCCTGAACACATTCCGTCTGTCCTAGTAGGCCTATGCGTACGTGTGAGATTATGTGGCATAAAAGATTCTTCGTTTTACATGTAGTATTAATCCTGGTTTACCGCATATAGACTAGCAAACAGTATATCGTACTTGTTTATTTTCTACCGTTAAACAGGCGATAAGTCACCGTTATTAATCCAGCCGCTTACAGAACGGACCCCACTGAACAAACAATTGATAAAAGTCGCCAGTATGGCCGCTTGCTCCATTCCTCTAGGACCACTCACAACAAATTAATATACCGTGAAACAGACTTGCTAATACAGTGGCTGCATTGAATAATCCTTATGTCATTAAGACGGTGTTAACATTAAGTGCACTTAAACATTGTGGCCCCATCATTTATAAAAATTACACATTTGACACCATAATCGAGCACTTTTCAGTGAAAACTTTTAAGTGTCCAAGTTAAAACTATTCTTTCCAAGACCAATAAAATCATGGGGCACATTTTTCATTAGGATGACATTTTATCAAAGGACATTAATACACCGCAGGCATTTATTTTATTTCTTAAAAAGTGTCTGACTTTGGGTACATTACTCAAGGTCGGACAAATAAATGTAAAATGAAAGTATTTTTTACAAACATATGATATTAATATTTATTTTGCAACATAAGTATGGATGGTACGTGTATGATATTCAAATTGTTGTAACAAAAAGTGACATTTAAATGTATATTCTAGAACAATTTCAGTTGCTTATTTGAAATTTATGAATTTATTCAAATGATTTCTGAAGTTACAAACTGTCATCAGTTTTTACCTTAAAGTGTAATATCAGAAATCAATGGAAAAATATCTGGTGGCAGTGCTTTTATGTGTTAATTTATTCTTAATTAATTAATTAATTAATTTATTTATGTATTTTATTTTATTTATTTATTTAACAAAGGTGACGAAGTCATGCATCCATCCATCCATCCATCCATTTATCTATCTATCTATCCCTTAAATAACTGAAAGTTCATTATTCTCTCTCATTTACCTCCAACTTTGTGTCATTCGTTACAATTACGGTAATGCTTGCTTGAGAAACCTATACACAACAAAACTACCTGTCCTGAATCCGGGATATTTTGTCCTGAAAACAACAATTAGTATGCATGTCACATCATACAAGCAAGCTGGCCCAAACCAGTTCTGGGTCATATGTCGGTACGGATTTTTTTGGTCGGCTACGATTCAGCTCACTAAGGTGAAGCAAATGAGGTGTAAGTTAATGTCGCATTTCACCTTATGACTCACCTGACTTCTTCAATAGACTAGACTAAACTGGCTGGAGGCTACTTGTGACACAGGCTTTTTTTATCCGATTCGTTGATTTACATTATGTATATTGTTAACTGATTTTTCCATTCTCAGTTAAGCCCCCTTCCCTCTCCATGTCAATACCAAGAGCAACTAGAAAAGCACTCCGAGAGCGCAGACCTCCGCCAAGGCAGCGATTTTTGATTATTATTGATTATTGATTGACTATTGATCCGGATCAACACCAAAAGCTAATCACTTCTTAGTTAACCCATTTCTGACCTACCCTGAAAAATTCATCAAAATCGGTCCATAACCTTTTGAGTTATGTTGATGACAAACAAACAGAGAGACAGGGGTGAAAACATAACCTCCTTGGCGGTGGTAACAAGTAACCGTTCAATGTATCAGGTGTGAATGGTTTGAGCGTACTTTTGTAATAACAATAAGACGTTATAGTACGTCTCCAACGTCAGTAACTAAGAAAAGCCAAGTTACCTAAACTGACATGTACATGTAAGGATAAAGCTGACTCAGAGTTTGAGGAAAACTGATATTCAACAACATGTAAAGATTCGTTTAATTTACCCTAACATAATTCACTGATACATTAGCCAATAGAGAACTTTACTGCCTATCTTTTATTTCCTACTGTTACGTTCTTTTGACGACTGACTTAGTTTTTATGGCTTCTTCTCCGGAGGTTTAAAAAAGTAATATAAGGACATACTAAAAATCAAAAATGACAGATGGAATAGTGCGTGCAAGTGGACAGTCAATTTTAACGGAAGCTCTGTTACACCCCATTTCCATAGATTAGATCGACCTACTTTAGATCGACCTAACTCCCTGGGTTCACGCTAAATAGCTGTCAGCCGGGCGGACACGAAAGTTAATTATCCCCTTACAGCTTGTAGTAGGCGGGACGGACATTTAAGTCGGATTATCTGAAAGTAATCTAGTGAGACTCCCCGCGGGAATAGATCGATCTAAAATCTATGGGAATAGAGCCTTAGAAAGTTCGCACAGTATGCGACAGGCATAAATGCAAAATACAAGTAAATGTCCAGCTGTTAAAAGGACAGAAATTCCTCGATTACAAAAGGTAGTCAAGCTAATCACTCTGTCGTCCCGCCCACCAGAGAGGCTACCGAGGCTAGTCGCGTGCCGTCAGGGCGGCATCCTAACAAGATATAACAAGACGGCCTGCGAAGTCAGATCCACGAATTGCGTGCATATTTTGTATCATTCAAAAAGGACAAAGTAACGTACCATGGATAATGTGCAATCATGTGTTTTAAATTAGCATGATAGTAGTCATAATATGGGGTCACAACGTCTAGACACTTCGGCAGTTTTCTAGCTGTTGGGCATCCTTACCGTGACCTTTATGGGAACATTTCACTACCAAATTGCCTTGCGGTCAGCACAAGGACAAGCTCTTATACGTACATAGCAATCCTCTGTGGATAGAATGTTCTCCTCTGAAGACATATTAGAGGAGGGGCCTCGTCCAAAGATTTCTACAGGGGGGATGGTCCATTTCGATACCCACATGGCTGCAAAATCTCACCATTCCCGTTACTCTCACTTCTATATATAAAATCTGTCTTATGTTTTATATCATAATTTAAATAATGCAATTGTTGATAACTTTTAAAAGCATAATTCAGCTGTGTTTTTAGTGGACAGCACGTCAGAGAGCACGCAGACATTTTAGACTACATCGCTACAAGTCTCGAGGTTTTTCAACCAGTGCGGGGATGCTTTCATATTAATTTAACGACATTTGCTGGTTCTTTTGAAGCACATTTTAGTTACTGTAGCAAAAAAGGAACAAAAAACTTTAAACTAAACACAAAGCGGTGATAATGTTATCAAATGTCACATCAAGTTGCCATCGGTTAAAGATGTCTTTGTGTGATAAGTTTTCTGCTTCCTGATTTTTCACATCTATTTCTAACATTGTACAGATAATTTCAGTATAAGAATAGAGCATCTGACGCAGCACATCAGTGGTGCGCATAAAAAACTGGATCAATGAGAGGAACAGTCAAGTAATGTTATTGTTAAAGGAAATCCTCCTTTCTTTTTCTTTACTCTATACGTATGTTTAAAGACATTTTGCATTCCTTCTAAATGATACAACTAGTACTTTTTGCTAATGATTGCGTTTATTTATTTTTACGCAATAAAAAAAGGAATGTATGTGATCGTTACCTTTGGTGAGTCAGGTGGATAAAAATGTTAAATTAAATTAATGTGTTTTTTGACCTTGAAATTGGAAAGAACGTGTAATGACTTTAAATATGGCGACAAAGTAAATTTTTTGAGGAAAAAAAGGCATTTGACAAAGATAAATATTGTTCTATTGACTAATGTCGTTCTATACAGGTACATTAGGAGACAGTTTTGATCCCATAAAAAGCCTGCCACCTCAGCTTGCGAGGACACCATTGATCGTGTAACTGCCATGCTCTTTGAAATAGCACATGTCACCGCAGTGTCATATATCACGGCCTAATAGTATATTTCTTACCACCGCTCAGCACTACAATGTTCTGCAACCGTCGCAATATGATATTATGTGAAATGACTTGATATTATATTATGTGATGAATACAGAATGCTGTTGCACAAAATGAAAGAGAGTCAGTGAAACGAACAAAGGCTCTTTTATTGACAGGTGCTTGATGAATATATGCAGTATAAATATAGCAACCTCGTGGGTCCACCAACACCTGACTGGTACTGGAACTCATTATTCTGCCTTTATTGCATACCCCTCTGCTCCAGTGACAAGAAAATGTGTCAATGTCATTGTATTTTACGATGACATGATCGTAACTAATTGCGGGAAAGATATTTTTTTACATTTACAGTACGTTTTATTTCTTGCGGATGGGGCTGCGATCAAAACATAAACTGCTCTGATAAATGGATTTGCCACTGCTAAATCTAACCTTTAGTCAAGTTTGTTCTCTTTTCGCATATAACACCAAATGCAATAATGCCACCTGCTTAAGATTCGTTTACCTTTTTGAATTTGAGCCCAGACGCTAACTCTAACGGTGTAACCATAGAAGAAATACGACGTGACAAGGCTGCTGAATAGTGCAAAGTTATGTCTTTACCGGGTTGTAACTCTTTCAATATACATGGTGTTTAGCAGAACGATAGGCCACCGTGTATAATAACGTTAGAATAACCAATATGTGAATTTTGCGTTTCGTGGATCACAGTTTGAACTAAATTTGATAACCAATGTAAAATATGCACACGACATGCCAACATGAAAGTGGGAAAGAGAGGGCGAACGTTAGGCGCGAAATTCAAAGCTCGAAAGTCAAAATGTCTTTTTTTTTTTCACTTTCAATAGGGTAGTATGCAAATTTTATACTCCTTTTGAAACGCACATCACCATGTCCAGAGCTCGGCATGGCACACCGTGTGGAACATATCGGAGATTCACACCATTGTCTGTTGTAAAATTGAGTTTTAAATCAGACGGCTGGCAAATAAGGGTCGTACCGAGAGGGACCGGTTTATTTTCAATGTAAACGCGCCTCAATATTCAGTTAAGAGGAAACCGACTGATTCCTTACCCCTTACGGGGAACAATAAGAAGTTATTACGTTCAACCGGTTTAGACCAGGTCACCCAGCGATGAATCTCAGTTGTTGTAGTAACTGGAATATTAGCGGGGAGAGTATTGAAACCGTTGTGATACGCACTCCTCCAACAAGGTTGAAATGGTAATCAGATACATTATTACCTCCCTATCCAGCGTTTTTTACTTACTAGAGATGAAAACGGGGGAAAGTAGAGAGAGGCTTGCGGATCGCAGTATTTATTATGAGCAGCTAAATATTTTAATATAGACATATGTACTGTGCAACTCAAATTAAACCATTGAGCAAACAAGAAAAAAAAATTGAAATTGGAAAATCATAGATACTTAGATACAGAAGTTTACGTATAACGCAAATTGAAATTATAGACAATAATAGCATACGTTTATAAGGTGTAAAATAGATGTGGCTGCTGTAGTTAAAAGCCCCTATTTATACGGCTGGGAACCTACCCTCTGCTATCACAAGGGTCTCTAGTATGACCTGTTACAAAATTAAAGAAGATTCAGCAATTTTGAAACAGACCAGAAGCGCCCCTGTGGTCAGAGAATAGCGGAAACTTTTGTATGGGGGCATGGGGTTTCTACAGCACCAGGGGGTACACCTGAACCTAACCCATGTAAGTTATCTTCGTCTTGTGACGTAATTGCAACTGCTATCAGTTTAAAATAATCCTCATGCAAACACGACCTACGAAAGCTGCACGACGCTGGCCACCCCGAGACCTAACGGACGTTACATTTGTTTGATTTTCCAAGCACAAACCATGGCGTAAATACGGTTCTAATCGTAATCCCGTGTACCGGGGTTATGGGAGTAGAGATAAGGGCAGCACCCCCAGGTAAACTGTTAAGCGAGGAGTTTCTATGTAGTAGATCCAATAAAAGGAAAGAGGGTAAACAGTGTTTGGGTAAATAGTAGTGTGTGTGTGTGTGTGTGTGTGTGTGTGGTGGGGGGGGGGGGGGGGGGGCTCTGGTAAAAACAAAGACACTCAACGTATAAGTACGTTCCGAATTAATTATCAGTCAATAATGAAAGACAGGTCATCTAGACGAAAAAAGGTTTTGTCTTATAAACCCTTAGTCTATTTAATGATGTCCATTCAGAGTACAGTGTTCAACTGATACATTTCAAAACGTTATTACACCCAAATTATTAATTAATTAATTTGAATGAGACGACAGCCTTTGGACTTTTTTCTCAGATGTCACCGCCTTTTCCGACTTTACTGAAGCCAGCAGTGCAAATTGTGGTCGCCTTAACAATTTATTCCAAGTGGCGACAATACCCCATTCAGTATGTCTACTAGATATTGTGTGACAATTGTTCGTTAAACTCTGTCAGACCAATGTCATGCAAAGTTGACTTAACATGGTTTACTATCTGGCTTAAGCAGCCTTTGCAAAATCTTTAATTTTTTTTTTTTTGAAATATACCCTTCTGATGAGAATGGCTGTTTTGTTAGAAATAAAGATATCGAATCTTTGTGAGACTAACAGCTCACCCGGGTGACGAAGCAACAGCTTTCCGATCGACGATAAAACGGAATGGAAATAAACATCCTTTTTTTTATAGATGACTTAACTTTATCTTCATCTTAACGCATATGCTGAATGCCTAATGAAGATCGCGGAGAGACAAGAAAAAAAAGATAACAATTCTTAACCAAGAGAGCGTGACAAAAGGCATTTACCACGATTGTAAAGACACGTCTGAGAGGCACTAGGACCTATTGAGTGAGGCCTTTCAACTGATGACTCTGAACTAGCGCCTATTACCCAATATGGTAATACAGAGTGGAAAATTTTTATTTGTTTTTATTTACTTATTCATTCATTTCTTTCCATATTTGTTCGTTTATTCTTTTTTATTCTTAATTCATGGTGTTTACAGAACCACACGTTTATTAACATATCCCTTTAAGTATTAATTTATTGGCTTACGTATTAATCCATTTATTACGTTCTTTTTTCCATACTTATTTTTGGACACAAATACATTCCACATACATATTTTGGAAATTTATCTAGTCTCTTGTTAAGAACATAATCATGCTCTCCGTCGTCAATTAAGGCTAATATTGATATATTTCAATATTGTCGCGAGGTACGCACAAAGAGTGATTTGCCAAAGGGATGTTTTGAAAGCAATTTCATTTGTAGGCCTACTCCCGAAAAAAATTCACGTTAGATGAATTGCAATTTTCGCCAACCATCTACGTACGGCTGGTTCGAATATTTGCTTTTCTTCTTCCAATTATTGTTAATCAAAGTGGCCGTTTCGAATGTCATTATGGAAGTGCGCCTTTCTGTTTTTCAAGATGGACGACTAAAGGGTAACACATCCGTTTCTTTCCTCCTGTAGATCAAAGCAAAGTTACGTATAAGCGTTCTCCGACTATTCGTCTTGTTGGGTTTTTTTCATTCTTTTTGCATTCCATTGTAACATAAAAGTTGTTTACAAAGTATGGTTAATTTGTTTTTGTTTTGGTACTGCTTCATGCGACATTATCGACAGGCCTAGGCCTTTAACCAGGCCAGCGATTTTAAAGGGGGCTTTTTTTTCCTGAAAATCTGGTCTTTTTCACTCCTAAAGTTTTACCCCAAAATCACGATCGAATTTCGACTCACAGCGGATCTTTTCTTACCAAAAGGGCGTTTTTTTCGACCCCCCCACCCCCACCCTTAAGGGCCTGGTAACAAATAACCAGGAAATAACTTAGTGTGAATTCTTTTGACTGTCGTTCTGATTCATCATTCACCATTATTTCATATCTTCTTTCCAATTTCAGCTTTAAAGAACTTATCAGCGGGGTTTTTTTTTTTAGATGCATCTAATTTCACAATCAAAACAGCGAGGAAGTTTTTATTTGATTTACCATGGATAATATGATTATGCTGTCAGGCGATGTCACTCATATCTAACCTAAGGCAAAGTCTAAGTCTGCCTCACGCAGTTATACACGACGATGTTATCATATCGGAAGATGCGTGGCTATCAGCGCGTCTCTTTTGAGATGACTTGTCCTTGGTGACAAATCCTGGCCTCTGTCCATGTGCTGCGTTCAGCGCCGTTTTTACTTAGCATTTTCTTGAGAAGGGGCTTGATTCAGGGGCGGATCCACAGCTATTTCCTGACAGTCTTCAGAATTACCATACCATTTGTTGATCCATCCTCCATTTTTGACCGTTTTCCGACAGAAAAATTTAGATACCCGTCAATGTAAACTTGAAATCTGACCATCTTCCGGAAGACCTAGAAGACGGCCCCAATCCGATCCTGTGATTGCTCCCACCTTTACTGCAATCTCAGAATATAGCAGCCAAAATACCATGAGAGGGTGGTTGAAATAATAATACAGACTACTCACGTCCAATCAGATTGACCACTTACCGGATTAAGTTTAAAATGGTTTGATTTAAAACGGTGCAAGATGCGGGCCTGAATATATAGATAAGATAACGTAATTCATATTAGGGATGGTTTATCAAATTAATTCCACTTCAGTAACGGCCGTGCCCTATATAGAGATCTACGATGTTAGAATAAAACCAATACCATCATCATTGGGACAAAACGTTTTTTTTTTTGAGTAATCACAATTGTAGGATTTGGCATACTTTTTCCCGTTAAAAAATAGTGGTTTTATATATTAGGGGAGAATCTGAGAGAAGCGATATGCTTTTCTAAAAGGGTTGTAATGTTTTCTCACTTCAGAGGGCGAAAATAACTTGTTGATGTCGCGAAAGGATCCCAAACAACAGACTTTAACTAATAAGTTAGTCCACAAATTTATTCAGATAGCTTTATGTACATTTGAATGTTTTTTTTTTTAACAACGCGGACTTTTCACGATGTTCGCACAATAGCGATAGAGACAAATTTCCGAACAGTAGCACACCCTTTGCTTATACTTGCCTAACCACTATGTTGGGAAATGTGTGTATAGGAAAGACAAAAGGAATATATAACTTACTGTAAAGGAATATAAAACTTAAGGAATAACTTACTGTAAAGGAATATATAACTTACTGTCTTGAACTATAAAGAAAGCCCTTTTAACAAATGAGCGACCATGTGTGCCTTTAGAATTTTTAATTTCTTAATCCCCTCTCAATGGATAAATATGAAAAAGAAATATCTGATGACAACTTTGGTGGTAATGCATGTAATGCTAAGCTAGCATTATGCCGAGAGAGAGAGACAGAGAGAGATGGAGAGCGTTCCTAAGGGAAATCATTTTCTGTGCATGCTTTAACGCACCACTGACATACAATGAAACTGCAGTTAGACGAATTAGCACCCACTTATTTCAAACGATCTTTCTGCGAGGCCTACACAACTCTTCATCTGTACATACGTATCAAAATCTTCTTTACTTTATGAGGCAGTATTTGCGACGTAGTTATGACTTGGGGCTAATACACTGTTAGTCATACAGCCGTAGGATAAGATAATCATAAGGTTCAAAAACAGAAAAAACAAATACATTCACCTATGGCAGAAGCGAAGAAGAAAAGTAGTGGAGCACTTACATCTAAAGATATATATTCCAATGTAAAGAACTATGTACAAAAACTTATATAAAGATGGTGTGCAAATATCAAACTTACCGACTTCTTTCACCACAAGCAACATTACTAAGCCTCTTAATGCCCATTGTAGAGTTTTCATGATGAGGTAATTAAAAAATCTTTTTACACTCCGTGAATTCGTTCTTAAAGTTGAGATATATCGCCCAGCGTTTTTGTGTTTTTGTTACGTCTAACTGCCAGATTCGCTCCTCCTCACAGTGAATGATGTAACTGGTTCTGCTTACTGCCCCCCTTGGCACAGTAGTCTTTAGATAAGTTAGAGGAAAGCCACACATTTATCTGTCCAATCCAGATAGAGACGAGAGACGCGTGCCGTCACGTGACCCAACCATGCTCGGTTTACACAATGGGTCTTGGTCTCAAGTTTTATTCTCGTGAGTCTAAGGAGTAAATTGAACGCTGTGTGTCTACTAGTTTAACGGGCCGACCTAGCTTTATTTTGCCTCGATTACGATTAGGTCACCAGAGAAGCACGTAAAATCCTTTCGTTGTCCCACCCACCAGTTAAAACAAGCAGCTCCCTATGGAAAGCTAACCGTAGTCAGTCTGGTTTGCCGAGATATATCGACCCACGTTCGTTGAGCAATTAACGCTAGTCTCATCGTTTGATATAATTTTTCACACAAACAGCAATGCGCATAATAATCTCTATGAATCAAGCAAACGTTATCGATACTACCTCAGGTCTTATAAACGGTTTAGGCATTTACTAACACTACCCGCAGATCTTTTACCACTAACACCCATATTAACCACATGACTCACAAATTCACCAGCACTACCAGATCGGATGAATGTAAGTGCTAGGTATCGCTTTGTTGGTGCTAAATTGTTTTACGGTGTGTTGGTTAATTCGTAGGTTTTGTGGCTAATATGCACATTGGAGCTAAAAGATCTGTGGGTAGTGTTAGTAAACGTATAATCCGTTTATAAGGCCTGTACCTAACAGACAGCAAGAGTTTCTATATAATTTTTAACAAGTATGTCTATTAGTTATTTACAAAAAAAAAAAAGATAAAAATATTTTCATCAGTCTTTTTTTTCTGCCTCTGTAAGCTATCATCCACTTTTTTTCGTCAATCGTCAAAGACGCACGCAATACGACGTATTTATGGGCCGTAGTACCATGTCGTGCAACGGTGTCTTAGGCATGGTAGTCTGCTAGAGACCGTATTCCGTTCCTCGTTACTTTGTACAGGTGAAATTCGTCCCATATATTTACTAATACTACGACTAACCCTAACCTGTACTAATCACATGAAACCACGGACTTCCACTCCTAGGACTACTAGTCTTGTCACATCGGGCCACGAGTTTCCCACTCGGCTTTCTATGATACTTATACGTCTTCTGTTATGAAACAATAAGGTCTGGTTATATTTGAAATTGGACTAGGTTAATGGTGAAATATTAGAAGAATAAGGTCAAGAAGATGATGGATTCTATGACCTTCAGACCTGCTTGGCTGTTCCCAATAAAAAGAACCCGTCACTTGTGTGCAATATAAAAGAAGCAGCACCGCGAAATGTGGTTTACAACTATGCTATTTCTACCAGAGAGGAGTGGTACTATTCATGATATTTATTCTATACATGTCCAATGTCCATATGGAACACCCCGACTGGTTTCGGAACAACTCGATTGGTTTTAGAAAGGTTTTTAACTGTTTACCTAGCATGGCAGCACGTGCATTGTATCTGTCTCGTTGACTACCAATTGTGGTAAAGCATCAGGAGGAATGACGTTGGACGATTGCACTAAAACTCAACTAACACAATGACATATGTGGTAATTTGCTTTCTTCGAGACATTTCGGCTGGTTCCGTGCCTAGAGATACGGAATGACTCGATGTTGGCTGACCGACATTTCCTGCTAACGAAAGGCATCACATCTATCAAACCTGTTTAGCGCGTTGGTTGCTCAGAGAAAAAAAAGGCACAAATAAATGTGTATGCACTGAAATAGAGCTAAACATATCTTCCCTCCTAAGAAGCGTAAAGAGCAGACAAGTCGCCCGCAACTAAATTTATCAACCCGCATACATGGTATCTTAAAGAATAGAATGGTAATAAACCGAGGTAGCCCGAAGTCTCGCAATTTAGAATAAATAAATATCAAGTCAGGTTTCCGGGGATTTGGAGGAGAATGGGGTCAGAAATAATGGCAGACTGGCAAAGAATATGTATATATATATATACAGTCAATGAAAACGCATCATTTTTTTATCAAATAATATTTTAAGTTCCTTTGGCACATTAGGAAAATATCAGTTTTCGTGTTAAATATGTGAAATATGAAATAGTGGTCAGCCCACTCTCTTATGACCAAACTCGTTTATATAGTTGGAATCGACTCTCGGTAAAAAAGTGCAATATATATAAGCTTACAAAAATAATCCACAGATATCTTTTTTTTTTTTAATTCCGTCGAATAACAATCTTTTAAACAACAGCGCACATTCACCATGATTTGTGAACTACCTTTGTATTGCTGTCTATAATCGCACATTATCCCGGATTCCTGCACGTTTCTAGTCTCATATATGGCGTCACAGAGTGCAGACAACTAGTTTTAGGCCATCTCGGGTGATTTTCCTTTGCTGTCAACAGTAAACTCTTACGCTTTTTTTTTTTTAATTTACCTAAAGAAACAAATATTAACAAATTTGCTATTACGGCGAATCAAAAGTCTCGAAAAGGCTACAGCAGCTTTGGTTTCGTCAATTATTTCTACTTCAGAATACAAAGGGTGATTGCATATAAAGTTTATAGAATCTAACTAAAGTAATCGACAAGCAGGTGGAACAGCGACTGGCAACAATCCGTCCACCCGGAATTCATTGCGCGCTTCTCTGGGCATGAAGCGCGCAATGAATTCCGTGTTGACAGATGAGACTGGTCTACAAGTACATGCCGGGTGACCGAGATTTCCTCATCAAATGCAGCGTCATCAGGTATTACTGGTGCAATGAAACGAATATCAAAACTTTTTTTTCATTTTCTGTGAGTACCTCCCAATACAAATAGGTGAATAGTTCTGCACTAAAATGGCCTACAACCTGCGATCCATGTCCGCTTTTATCAAGGGCAACCAGGAAAGTAATTGTCGTCTGCACCCATTCTTCACTGAAAAAAAGAACTAGAACCACAACAATAACATTTTTTGTCTTTATTTCATGTCTGTTTAATTTGATTACCAATATTATTTTCACTCAACCATAAGCGCATTGTATTAAGTAAAGTGTCAGGGGCCGTTTTGCAAAGAGGAAAACCAGACGATCAAGCCCTAATTTCATTTCCAGTCTTTGTTTTCAGTTGGCCTAGTTATCAGAAAAACGATAAAGCAATCAACTGTGCTTTAATTGAAACCCAAACTTCTTTTTAAAGAGAAATTAGCAATTTATAAACTCAGCCTTTTTTGAAATTACTCTCCGTTTGAAAATTCCATTTTTTTCGCTACATACCTGAAGTAGCCAAGAGACACAAAACAACTGCAATTCTATTCCGAGCAGTAAATCATAATCTTTTCGTGTTATAAGCTTACTTTAAATGTCCGTTATTTGCCTCAAGTGGCTTCATTAGTGTCTGTTTATATAATGTCTCTCGTTCAGTCACAGGTGGCTTTGAACACTTTTCCATAAACATCCTACTTTATTATAGATTTTATCGAGATAACGAATAGAAACAAAGATTCCATGTCAGATTTTGTACAAAGAAACCAATAGCAACTCTTCAGACAAAAATAGCAGTCTATTTAGCCAAAGCCCCGATCACAATTTTGAGAATATTTCCAGTGCTTCAAAGTCCCTTACGATTTTGATTGATAAGCAGCTGTAAATCAAGAAGTTATAACTTCTTGTGTAAATTCAAGTTACCAAACGTCGATATCTGACTATGCACATCTAGCGCCTAAATACGCCAAGGTGACTCTTAAGACAAAAATTGTTTACGACTGCTTACTGAAAAATATTAATAAGGAACTTTCAAAGACCTGATATACGCAAAAATGTGGCAGGGGCCTAAAATTTGAAAACTGAACAATAACATAACCTCTGAAGTAGGTATTGTGACTGCAATATAGTCATATATTCTGAACTCAAAAGTGCTATTAAAAAGGTCGTTTGCCAATATTTCTTCATAATGCTCCATTAGTGCTATGTAATATAGAAAATGCAGGTATTTCGCCAGGTAAAAATTGCGTGCAACAATTAGTGTCTAATATGTTGCGCGTTCTCATTTTCAGGACTTCAGAAGCCTGGCCAGTAGAATTTTTGACAAATGTGTATGTTTTTAAAATAACTCTTTCACGATGTGCCAGACAATATCCACTCCTCTTGCTTCTTGAATTTTTTCCACAGCGTGATATTCTTTGAGTGCCAAATGGGCCAATTATATTTTCGTTTAATCAGCATTAATTGAGGAAAACGCCAGCTGCACCATTAACTGCATAATAAAATGATTAACGTTAGCAAGTAAACAATTCTACGAGAATTCTGGTATCCCAGGTAATATAAAGTTCCTTTTAAATTAAAGAGACAGAACAAACATCCTTCCAGTTGTGTTAACTATCATTAGATCTAATAAAGCTTCCGTCTGCACTATAAAACATAATTTACGACTCTGTTCAACATGCCTTTTGTGAACAATTCTTCAGAGTTTTTCTTTAAAGATCTCTCTTTAATTCATTTTCTTAATAGATACGACGTTTTCATTGTCAAAATCTATCTCACTCTTTTGTGAAAAGTTCAATTACTAACTGATGTTATAACTAAAATGCTATGGCGTATCTCTTTAAGATAGCTGGACTTACAACATAAAAATAATTTAACTGAAATTGTCATCAGTAAAGCTTGTTGGATTCGACGATGTTTCTGTATTTCCGCCACGTGAATATTTTGCAAAGTGTAATTAATTTGATAATGGCTAATTAATACCATTTATTTTGTTGAATCGCTCAAGATCACTAGCCAAGCGTGCAAATTACGAACTACGTACATGTATATAAGGGGATGATTGGTTCGGTTACTCATAGCGGGACAATTTGAATCGCCTCCCTGCTGAAAGGTTTGAGAAGCTTTATAATGGGTAGTTTTATTGGGCGTGCTCTTCAATAATTAAGCATGCTTTTACTTATTTGTAAAACTTAGTTTGGTAAATCGATCTTAGTTGACAAGTCAGTGGCGGGATGGACAGAACTTAGTTACCGACACTAGCGTAAATACATAGGTATTTTCAAAACACACGGTGGCAATACGCGCCTAAACTGATTTGAAGGTCGTATTTAAAGCGAAAATATTGGTGCATTCTCGCTAAAGTGCTACTTGTTGAATCAGCTTAATCAGCACACGATAGTTAATTACCCCCTAGCCGCTCGAAGGTGCGTGTAAGACAATTAAGCCGATAACATTTTCCATTAATACTTAATTCAAATCAAACGAATTTGGTCTGTTTAAAGCCATGGAAGTTGAAAAAGTGTATTTTCAATGAAACAGTATCGAATTTGATCGAAAACACCTTTGAATTCGCCCACTGTTCCTTTAAGCGAGCTTTAAGTATCCATATATCACACAGTTATGTTTTTTAAAATGAATTTATTTCAGATGAAGTTTACTAAGGTTGAATACCTGGTTTTACTCGTGGCCATGTGCCTCGTTGTCAAAAGCGAAGCTAGGTTTCGACGGATCGATGATGGCGCCGGGAAGAAGCCATTTGGAGTCTCCGAAAGTGAAGCTGCACCGTCTGGGGGAAGGGTAACTGACGGCCGGTGAGTTTTAAAGGAAAGAATGGGCAAAGAAAGCTGAATTTTGATTAAGCTCTGGTATTATGATATGCTGTGCTGTAAGTAAGATGTCCAGCCTTCATCAAAGTATGAAATGATTTTATATCTCTAAAATGTACATATTGATATGTAACTAGATTGCACGGGGTTTGATCACTAGACACCTATATGCACGATAGTGGTCGTTCGAGCACGTATATTCTAAGTGCAAAAGTTATATGTATAAACATTGGATTATAGTTCCTATCGACAGTTCTTGTTGCAAAGGTGTGTTTTAGGATATTTTCTCAGACATGCAGGGAATTTTTGAGTCAATCTCAGACTCTGATAAGGACAAAGGGAGTCTCTAAGAGGGATGGTTTAATAAGTTTAATAATGCTGATAAATTTATAAAATCCATAAAAAATGTTCTGTAGACTTAACAAATAAAATTCAAGTTTAAACCCATTATTTTAGATTTAAAAGTAATAGTATTAAAAGTAAAGAGAAAAATGTCTAATTAAAACTATAAAATATCCAAAAAATTTTAAAATTGTAAGTTTTAGCACATTATCTGCCGAGCTTATATTCCTTAGTTCTGATGGGAACTGATTCCATCTGTACAGGGCCGCGAATTCAAAAGATTGTTCTCCAAATGTTTTTTAAGCCTTTCACATTGAGTAAAGTATGAGCAAAACTATGCTACGAATGTACATTTCTGGCGTTTTCTATGACTTTTAATCCTTAACGACTTGTCACCATATCAAATCCCATACTGTACATATAGTTGTTTTTTTTTGCTTCGGCTGCCGATGCCCAGAGAACAGTAATGTACTCAACGTGCAGATTCACCAGGCAAAATTTTAGTTTTTTTCTCTCAAAGAACGGATAGAACACCTCTATCCCCTAGAGATATAACCGCAGAATGTTAAGAATGAAAATGTTAAGACCACAGCAGCTAAGTCCCACAACCGTCTCTATGAAGGGCTTCTTGGTAAACGTAGAATGACATAATTAAAATACAGTGGTTAGACCAGAATCATTGATTGCCCAGGTTTGACTGCACGTTGCAGACAACATTATTCCTTCACATATACATTATCATGTCACCGTGTCTACATTTTGCAAATTAACATTGGAATGTCATGCAGTTTGCCAGACTTAATCTTTATCAAAAGCACATATAGACAAAAAAGTAGTATTAAAACTGTCACCCGTCCGTTCTTTCCACTATTTCAAGCTGTTTCAACCAGGACTATGAAAACAATGGGGACCACACGTCTTTCCTCCTCTGTCCCCATTGGCTTGTTGCTGCGAACGAATATTTTGAGATCATGGTACAAATTGTGACATTTCTAATTTCTTCTTGAACCCAAAAACAAGACTTTTCTCACCTGTAAGCAAGGGGAAGAAAATAAACCTACCATTTGTTTTCGTTTTTCTCTGTCAAAAGGGGTGAGTTAATGTATTCGCCTATGTCGTATAACAGATGGGACAGTGTTTGGTTAAGGAGGCTTTTGAAAGAAATAAGGCCGATTCTCTTATTTAGAGTAGTCTCACATACCATATTATGTGGACTTTTATATGTACAAAATAATGGTTTCAATATTCCTTTGTAATGTGGCCAGATACATTCTAAGGACATTTAATGTTTAGTTTTAAAGATAAAGTGGGCGAATGTTATAATCAAAAGAAATAGACGAACATAACAGATTAGCAGGAGATATAAGCACGACAAATTTAAATCATGAATTCGTATCGTAATTTGGTAAAGATATTGCTATTCAAGATCAGGCATAGTGTTTGGCAGGCACTTAGTGTTTAACTTACCTATACTATGGTATAAAAAAATAAATTGGCTAAATTAGTAACCACAATATATGATTTAAAGCAAAACGATTTTGCGCATGAAGTGTCTTAAAAGCCCAAATTGCTCGGAGTTCGTCTTAGCAGGGATCTTTCACTTTTATATCAATATTTGAAGCTCAGACAGAATCCAATTCCTAATGTATATTTAACATATACGTGGGCTGAATTTATTATTATTATTATTATTATTATTATTATTATTATTATTATTATTATTATTATTATAACACAACACAAAAATAAATGAATGCTTTAACTGCTTTTGACTCTTATCTATCTATCTCCAACTTGAATAAGACTAGAAGTTTTCTCTTTCTTGATATGTGTTTTTTAAGCTATATCCAATATATTTGCTTATATGTAGGTGTGCAGGTGGTGCGAGTGTTGCATCAGCTAGCATCGGAGAAGATGGCACTGATTTAGATACTGGAAAACCACCAGAGGGCGGCAGAAAAAAGAGACAACTTCCTGGGGGAGCGGGGTAAATACCTTTACTTCGATTTTATTTTAGGATTAAGAACCATGCAAAAAGTTGCTTGTGAAGGTTAGTTAAACAGTTGGAAGCTTGGATTCACTCCTAATCACACAAAATGTCAAGAAAGTATATTTCTGGCAGATATTGTTATCAGCCATATATGGGATCAGTCATTTGTCACGAATAGACATTTAGACGTTATATCGTCATGAAATACTTCAACATTTTACTTAAGCCTCTGTTTCGAATTGGATAAGTACTAACTGGCCACTATAATATTTTGTACCACGTCATTTCTGTTCCCTGTCTAAGAATAGTTCTCTATATCCAATTATGGTAAAATTTCAATATTCCAACAATTTTCTCGCTTCGCTAAAGATTGAAGACGTTAAAAAAAAAAAAAAAAAGAAATGGCCAATAAACTTGCCCAAATGTTCTCCATTGGAGACTATCCAGTTTCGTTGGTGTAATTCAGTAGATAGTATGTTATGACCCATATTTTGATGTTTTAGTCAATAAAGTTGCCCAAATGTTTTCCATTGCACACCATCCAGTTTCGTTGGTGTCATTCAGTAGAGAGTATGTTATGACCCATATTTTGATGTTTCAGCCAATCACATTGCCCAGAGGTATGCTACTGGATACGCCCAAACTGGATCTGGTCGATAAAACATAATACTTGGTTCAGAGTAGTACAGTTTCCTTGGTTCCAGCAATGGCTCAGGCCCTGCTACTGTTGGTAGGTAAAACATATTGTTTATATGGTATGTGCGCACCCTTGTGCGTGCGCGCACGTGTGTGTGTGTGTGTGCTTGATGTATATGATGAGCCTATTCAACACGTTTTCATAAGAGCACGCTTAAAAAACGAGTTTCGAGTTTGAATGTAGACAATGAAAAGATTGAGAACCAATTTTGTTACTAGAATATCTCAAAACGAGTTGTTTTGATACATTTATGTTTTTGAAAGTAAAGATTACAACACTGATAAATTTGTAATGTTTTGTGGTTTGCATGTTTAATGGCTTCGTGTAAACTTGAAAACTTAAAAGAAAAAGACATTTTTGTCTCAGTATAGGCCTGCTATTGGTTTCTTTAACAGCAGTAAAAAATTTATGATAAAAGATTTAAAATAAAGTACGTAAGTTACAGAGAATGTTGGAAAATTTGTTTATATTTCATAACTGAATGAAAACATATTTAAGGCCCCTAAACAGATGGTGCCAGCATTACTCACCAAACTTTGGGAACATTGCCTTGTGTGCCAAGTGCACTACAGAATGGGGATGGAAAAAGATTCAGGTTAGTGTTACAACCTTTATGGACAACAAATATTATCTTCATCACGGTACACGTACTTTCTCCACCCATGGGTTAGGCAATTTTCTGTTACTTAACTAGTAATGGGGTTAAAAATGTTACAATTTACATTTATTTTCACATGGCCTCATAAACGCCACTGTTTTGGCTAAAAATCTTAGCCAAATGGACGTAGATTATTTTTGCCTCGTTATATTGACAATGTCAGTTGATTCAATTCATTAACCAGAGCTCTAACTTGTTAGTTTTTTTCATTAGTAAACAACCTTCAAAACTTGCTCATTTGCTTATATATATATATGATGTTTATTGTGAAAACTGTAAGTGGCATACATAGAGAATATATCCACCTTGCCTGTCAGGTTTTCTTTAATATCGTTCTTTAAGTTAATGTTCAAGTCATTAACTTATCAAATTATTTTTGTTTTGATTGTGATAAAAAGGCTTTGTGATATTAAAACCACTATGGTTTTTTAAAGATTGCCGTGTTTTTATTTTTTTTTTAGCATTTTGATTAATATATATTATAAAGTATTATGATTTCTTTAACCTTTAGAACTTTAAGATATCTTAAAATAAGTTTGCATTTTATGTGCTGAGAAAACGAACACATCGGTAAATTCTTTATAAAGCATTGGCCACACAGCATTTTTTCAAAGATCTGTAAGATAAACGTGTTTTCAATTGAATTTAAAGCAAAGTGCATATCTTTGTTTCAGATCTGGTTTCGATGCCAAAGAAGATGGGTGTGGGTGCAGATACCTGTTGGCTGTTGCTGTGGCCTAATGGGTCTTCACCCATGCCCAGCTTTACCCCCGCCCCGACCCGTATTTCCGTGGTAACCATAAACAAGGAAGAGGACACACGGCGGATTGTAAATTCATCTGCAGACACCGATTTGATCGCCTGAATTACAAGTAGAACCTTAAACTTATCCGACAGTGGTATTAAAGTATAGAAATTAATGATAACAAAGATTAGATAGAAGTTGGATTCATACCACTCGAACGACTGGTAGGAAATCTTACACACCATACTAAAATGAAAAACATTCAATTACACAAGTTATGCCTCTCTTGCTAGAAATTTAACAGATGTGTGCATTTTTAAATTCTGTTTACGTCACTGAATATACATACGGAATAATGAGAATAGAATTGTAATTAGAGTGAGAACATCGCTTTGCTTAATAAAGCTATGAAATGAAAAATATCGGTTTTGTCACTCTAAAATGCAAACCAGTATTTTCTTTTGTTATATAATTTGCAAAGAATATACCCGAGAATTCTAGGTCTGAAAACAAAACTCACTATTGGCAGCAGACAAAATAAGGACCGATGACAAAATCAATGGTTTACGACCAATCAGAGTGAAGGAAACATGTCATCAATCAGGCGAATGAACAATCAAAATAAAAGAAACATATCATCAACCAATTTGACAAATAATATCCATCTTGCATCTTGTGATGATATCATTCTTTAATCTGTTGTTTTTCACGGGTTCAAAGAAAGCAATGTTTAATTTCTGGAAATACATGTACTAGTATTGTGCCCAGACGTGGCAAAAGTACGAATCTGACATTAATCTATCAATAAGGTGCCATGCTTGGTCCAAGCGTTGATGACATTGAACGCCAAGCCGGATTTTTCGTTGGCTAATGTCTTCCGACGGCCATCTCTGAACTTTCAATTTCTCTCATTTGATAGCTTTTCAATCCTTGGTATCCGTCCCAAACTTCGAAATATCCACATCTCAAACACTTCCAGGTTTTTCAACGCAGTAAAAATTGTCGATATCACATAGCGTTTCACAAGCCTCATTCTTGTTGTAAAGGTGAATCTGACATAATAAAGAAAGAAAAAAAACTTTTACAGAACAACTAAATACGAATAAAATAATGATTCTCAATTCACTCCTAAAAACATATACTTGCATAAAAAATTAAAGTTCAATAGAAACTGTAAAGTGAATAATAAAAGCTGAAAGAAAAATAAGAATAGAGAAAAGTTGATAAAGAAAATTACAAAGAGATAAAAATAAAAGGCAACTTCGTAAGAAGGTTCACGGACCTGCAAAACATTCATTCCTATGCTAAGACTGGAAAGGGAAAACTGTTCTGCTATTCTGCTATAGACGTTGTAAAAAGCAAATGATCTGGTGTTGCAGAAACGGTAGCTCCAGGAATGTAAGTCTGGAGTCCCATATGATTACTGCATGTTAGGGTTAGCATCTAGCACACCGTTTCATGGTTAGTAGATGAGACGAATGTCTCCTGAACAAAGTAAAGGGAAAGAGACTACCGTTACTAGATGACTAATATTATTGTCACACCTGCTCATGAGAGCGAACCAGTAAAAGCAATGTACGGGGGAAAAGAGAACGCAATTTAAGAATATTTAAAGATAACCGTGACGGCACACGTGCTTCACTATCGCATTCGAAGCAGTTAAAGGGTTAGAATCACAAAGAAGAATGCAATTAAGGAAAATTGCAGAAAAGCGTGTCGGCACAAGCCACTAAAACATTCTCTAACAAAATTGTAAGTTTTTTCATGTCTTATCATCGCAGGTGAGCCATCTTTACTACATTGCTCCTCACTCAACGACCGAGCGCAAACATGGCGATTCGTCACAATTCCTTAACTCGAAAGCATCGCAAATTGCGACCGAACGCTAATAGCGATATCATCTTTAGTTTCGAGGCTATTATTTGCGCACGTAGGTCCGGTCGCAACGGCCTTTGCGCATGCATAATTCGTCATTTTATAGTGTCTTTCATGTAATTAAAGTTTGGGTTGCTAATCATAATAGTTATAACAAAGCGTGAAAACTAAAAGATTTGAGTCACTCGGTACCTCTGACAGAAAAAAAAAACAAACTTTTGGTAAATTTTCACGTGAAGACTGCTAAGGTCATGGTTTATTATACATAAAAATTTCAAAATAAAACATTTCATGCATCATTTTATATTTTCTGATGTTTTCTATAGTTCATCTGTGTAGTCTGTTGATAATAATCATGTTTTATTATGAACAAAAAAAAATTCAGAATTAAACATTTCATACATTATTTGATATTTTCTCACGAAAATACGTCTGTGTAGTCCATTTATAATAATCATAACTTTCTACACAAAATGAAAAGGCAGAAACAAAGCACTCGGTCAAACTGTGACCTTCCTCAGTGTCTGTTATTGTACTGAGAGTCTGAACACTACTCACCCATGTATCAGTGATTGTATCAGTCCAAACACGTGCACTTCGCTTATCGAATTGTTTTTGACATTTTATTTGTGTCAAACACTTCAAATATCAATATTTTTAATTGTGATATTCCTATAAATTAAAACACTATCTTGTTTAGCATCATACTGAAATAAAAATACATTATATGTAATTGTACTATGAACGTCTTCACTTTATGCGGCAATCGACTTTTAGTAGCGTTCGAGGCAATAATTGCGTTGCGTTTGTTAAGGCTTCAATTTAGCTGACTGGTGCAATGGCCATCACAAATAGCGATTGATCACTATGCTTGCGGTAGCAATTTGCGATGTTTTCGAGTTATAGAGCCCAGAACACTTAATGGATACATGCACCATTCAGAAATGCCATAAGAAAGTGACAGTGTTCCAAAGTTCTCCTTTAGTCTCATCTATTGTCTCATCTATTAGCTGCTCACTTCTCCATTCATTGTTCCTTTTTTAATGTGAACTTGAGCATTATCCATGTGCGTAAATAGCGCTTGCAAACAGCGGTTAGCAACTGCACTATAATATCCATGCCACAAAACACGGAAGTCTGTTCCCTGTGGTCTTCCTGAAAGGTTTCTCCAGTCACGCTTGCTAACTATTTTCATATTAAAAAGATATACGATCATGCTGTCATTTACAGGACGGACTGTTTTCTTTTAAGGACGGGCAAACGTTGTCACGATTTCCCACCTCCAACCTAAAGTTACTGCAGTGACTAATGTACACGGGAAAAATGGTTTGAACGCGCTCAGGTAAATCTAAAACGCAATCTTCCTTTACAGAACACTTTTTATTATTTCTACTTTCTTGAAACCACTCGCAATGCGTGATTTTGGTTACCAAATAACCATTAAGTTCCCGTTTATATATCAAAGTTATCTTCCCGTGTACTCTGGCGCATGTTCCATACCAGTAAAAAAAACTCCCTTGATAAGTGATGGCCCCTAGCTAACAAAACTGTTCATCTATGTTTTTGTCAAGTACGCTTTGTCCGGGAATAATTGTGACTTCTTTTCCGGAAACATCAAGATTTTAAAACCACTCATTATAAATTGATTTATCAAAAAGGGGACGAGATACTTCCAGTGCTCTTTTTTCCCTCGATAGAAAAAAGGTGAAGAGATACATGATAAAAGTAAATTGAGGTGGTCATCTTGAATTTTCCATCCCCCAACAAAAGCTTGAACGGAATTAAATGTATGTGCTGTCAATCATTACCAGAGATTTACGTAAAAATGCACAGGCAAGGTTTCTTTTCGTTTGTGACAGCGTTTCTTCTTTTTATATATTAAAACGAAAACAACTACTGTCTACAGTGATAGGCCTAAACACATTAAAATAGAACCGACAAAAAGCTGAAGAAATACTAGGGCAAACAAGACTTTCTGGCAAAATTTGTTCTAAATCTTTTAGGGAAGGATGAAAATAACACAGAATGATATAGCAATTAAATTCAACTGTGATGCAATTTCATATGATTAAAATATTTAACAATAAACAGCAGAGCGCAAATTTTAATTTAAAACACTGATATTGTCGCAAGAAAACATTCGCTATAAACTTATATAAGTTCTTTTTGCAATTAATTTATGTAAATTTTCATTCTATTTGCAATCAATTTATAGAAGTTCTCATTCTTTGTCTAGAATCAGGAGCACCGAATCATTTCTACCATAAGTTTTTGTTTGCCTCTGGCCTAACAACACGTGTGTGCTTTGAGGCATGACCTTTTAATGTCACATCCATGACGAAGTGCGGCCAATAAAGCACACATTACCAACATAATGTTTGCATCTGAGATCCTCTCACCACATTAGGTTACTATATAGGAGTGTTTAAAGTGAATCTATGCAATATTTCTCTTATAAAGCTGGCAGAAGTGGATCGTTTTATATTGAATCCCCTGTCTGTGAAAGGTCATCCTCAAAAAGAGAGAAGTCAAGACAACCCAGTTACTAACACAAGGTAGGCCCTAATTTCCTAGTTAGGATTAGTCAAAGGAAATGTTGCTCTGATTAAAGATTTCACTTTTGTTTTAAGGTGGGTTAATAGGCTTTACACATAGCAAAAGAGCTACATCGAGCAATCGAAAGAAAACTCTGTTCTGTAAGCCATACAATATAATAGAGCGTTAAGCGAGGAGCGTGGAATTGCCTAGGACACCTGTCAAGCACGAGTGATTGCTCCTTTTCTGGGTTAAGGTTTGTTGAATTTATTCGGCATAACAATATCATTGGCATGTATGTAGCAAACGTAATACCATTAAAACCTGTTAAAGGGTTTTTTGAAGTGTTTAATAAAGTGTGGGATAAACACGACCAAGCTATTTACAAATAAGCGTTTCAGCGGTACAACAGAAGAAAATAAAATTACTGAAACGTTTTTATTGTCTCGAAGGACTTGCAACAATAACAAGTGTGCGTTTCTCTTCTAGACATTTTTATGAATTTTTATTCCAAGAAGATGCATTTGATATTCCGAATCTGAGAAAAATGATGCAGATACTCTTAAATTTCGTGTATTTATTCATTTATTCGTTTTGTAACACATTTTCTATGCGTTTTATCTCCAAAAACAATGTTTTGGTCTACCTTGAGTGATTTGGAAGTGCTTTCTTGAGTGCCAGTAAAATCACAAACTGTCAAATGAATCGGCAATAAAACTGCAATTATTCTCGGTAGATAATAGTGAATCTAGGTTAATGCAGAGGGCGCCAATTAGACATCTGATGATTGTAAACCAGAAAGAAAAAGTTGTTTATTTCCTTGTCAAATTACGCACTTCTCTTTTATATTGTATACATAAGGACACACAAGGTACGTAAACGCTTGTGTATTAGGGAGTCGATAGTAACTATCTACACGTATAATAATAATAATATTAATAATAATATTAATGAATATATGTAACAGGAAACAGGGCTTCCTGAGAAAAAGGACAAATTATGCTGTACGTAAAATCTAAAAGTAAATTATTTAATACAAGCATTTTGCAATCTAATGGAAGATGTAGATGTACGTTTTGACAAGTCAGGTATGGAATAAGAAATGGACTGAGTGTCATAGCTATGAGCTTTTCTTTTGCCGCACTTTTTCTACCGGCGGAAGTACTTAATTATTTATAATTATTTTTGCTTTTTTGAGAACTTATGAATCACTCATAATATATTTCAATTCCCATAGTTCTCTTTCTACATTTCAGAACAGAATGGCTTCAACGAATCTTCTGAAAATGGTGTCTGTACTTTTAGTGCTTGCATTATACTGTTGGATAACCTCCGCCACTGAACTAGGTAGGTTATATTGACATATATGGCAAGTGTACATGTACACACACAAATGTACGGCAAATGTACACAAAGAAGTACTCACATACGGGCGGGCATTCAAAGTAAAAAACATCTTTATACACAGCACCATATGCATTATATATACGACAAAATTTCACATATGCAACTAGCTTTTTTCCTGTCGCTGTCAAATTTCGAATATAGGCATTATTTTTGAATCGATAGTTTATTCAGTATATATTCAGGTACTTGAACCAGTTTGCTATTTCGTAGTGCCTTTATATGCGTGTATGCTGGGTGTATTGTCCTGTTCACTGCTGTGCATTACAATTTCTACAGCTAGTTACAACAAATACTTTTCTAATGGCAATTTAATACCCGAGCTCGTGCATATTCGAGCACACATTTACGTTAGGTAAGTTTTGCTTTCGGAAAGCGTTCAGATAAAAATACAAGGTCATTTTACACTAGTATTACTCACTGAACCTACCATGTAATATCTTCATGTGTCTAGTGTCAAACAGCTTGCAACAAAACGCTGCATGGTTATACCTAAAATATCCATTAATATTTTACAGAATGTCGTTCTCTGTCATTTTATCTCAAAGATATGTGACAAAAATATTTTCAAACTCAACGACGTTGAAAAACTATCTAATGCTTTACCACCCATCTCGCGACAATAAGGAAGTCGTTATTGGGGCTAAAATAGTTTACCAGACACGATTGCCAAACTTGTTATAGCTGCCTTAGTAGAGGTCGCTACATTATGTGGTGGACAAATTCTGCATTAATGCCCTAAACCGTTACATTTCCCATTTCTTTGGGTAATGTTATGGACTAACGTACCTCATGTATATTCTTTTAATATGACCTTCTCACCTTTATAGTAGTGCGAATGTCAAATTTAAGACATCAAAAATGCCGACATGGGCACTAAAGATTTTTCAAAAATGTCATTGCATTGTTATTGGTTTAGAAAAAAATCCGAATGAAGTGAGGAAAATGAAATTTTAAAGTGATGTCAAATGACTTGTAAAACTATGTCAGCTTTAGCCTGTATGTGACATGCACTAATATATTGTGTCTTTCCAAGCACAGGTAGGCTACACATTTGCACATAGGCCTATAGGCCTATCAGGTATAGACATTCTGGCAGTCTTCTAGGTCTTCCGGGTTACGGGCATCTACTTTTTCTGCCGGAAGACAGTTAAAAATAAAGGGTGGATCAACAAAGATAATTTGTAAGACTGTCTGAAAATATATCTGGATCCGCCCATGTCATTAATTAAATTGTTTTGTTGCTAATTTCTAAATACATGTATTAAATGCATCATCACTGTCAAGGTTACTCGTTCAGCGTTTTTCTTCTCTTTTTAAACCACGCAGAAGACAGGTCGTGCAGTGGTGGCCTTGTCTGGAGTAATTGCACCAAGAACTGCACCATCACGTGCGACGACTTTGAGCCCGCATGCGCAGAGGGTTGTACTCCAGGCTGCAAGTGCCCGGATGACAAGCCTCACTTTCACGACTGTCGGTGTTGGACCTATAACGATTGCTACACTATATTACGTAAGTTAAAACTTTTAAAAAGATTCACTTAGTAAAACAAGTTTCAAATATCTTATAGTAGTGTATTGATAGGCATTCACAAAAGGTTTTCTCAGCAGTTATAATATTTCTTTTTCAAGATTTCTTAGATTTTGAAGACATACCCGGTATGGTTGACTGCATAACCCTTCACCGTGTAGCTTGCATTGACTTGTTGTTTATCATGTGGAACGGATTCTATTAGTATTACCCGAACCAGGAAAAACATTCAGACTCCTTGTAACTGTAACAAATAAAATTTCCGGTCTCAAAGTGTCCGAGTAATGTGTCTTCTTTAAACAGCATCTCTTTGGTGTATGAATTTTCTTTTGCGCTTGTTTTGGTTTTATTGCATCATGTGATTTATTGCATCATGTGACTGGAGCAGTAATAGGTATTTTCGTCATATCTTATTTAATGTGTGCTCTTTAAGTAACAATAAAAGGTAATAAGTTTGGTACTACAGATTCTCCTTTCTCCTTTTTCTCCGCTTTTCGTGTCTTCAAAGCACATCCGTTAGTCAAGTGTTCTGCACACTGTCAAACAGTGCTTATTAAAGATGCATTTGAAGTCATATTTTTGCCATAAATCCCAACGAAATGCCACCATATAGTTTCATATGCCATACCTTAGAGAAATACCAAAGGGCTTCGTTTCCTTTTTCCCAAATAATGATATTTGATCGTGTGTCTTCTGCTTTCTTCCTGTGCTATACTAGTGTACAGTATATGGTCCTCGGTTGTTTCGTTTTCGGCAAGTCATATTAATAACTGTGTGCGCAGCAGTAATGCGCCATGCATTACTACGTCATTTAGCAGACATTTTACGAACTGAAGGGACTGATCAGGGGGTCAATTTACGACCAAAAAATATGTAGAAGTTGCAGTTTTAAAGCTGTTTTTTGGGCTGATCGAGTGATTACTTTGGTGTATGCTTTGACATGTCGACTTTATACGAGTCGTATAAGAAACAAGTGGAAGTGGCTTATGTGTTATAAGTAATTCGTGCTCGATCCAAATGTAATTTTAAACAGTCTGAATGAATCCACTTATTCCAGACTGCACTGGGGGTCAGGTGTGGAGCTGGGAAGGAGGGAGAGAAGGTAAGGAGTGCCACGCCACGTGCGACAGTCCCAACATTGACTGTCCAGCCAAGAGTAGGATATGGGGCTGCAGGTGCCCTCCAGAGCGGCCATTATGGAATGGAAACTTATGTGTGAGGCTGTCGGAATGTCCGCAAAGTAAACAGTGTACAGGAGGACAGGTGAGAGTCTCTTTATGCCTTTTGGAAGAGAATTTGACTCATGTGTAAGACCGGCATTTTGGTCTTATTTAATTCAGTATACATGACACAGAAGATTATGACTATCTAGTGCATACAGCGGTATACCTTTAACGTTAAAGTCATAAAGACATCGGTTGTATAGAAAACGCAAGAAGTGGCATTAGCAGAAGCTCATATGCCATATCAATAAACTCTACATGATCAGGAAGTACCCGATATATACAATCGAATCAACCAAATCATGCCTTTCTTAAGGTTTGGAAAGACTGTGGAAGTACCTGTACGGCCACCTGCAGTGAGCCGACTCCACGATGCAGCACCGAGTGTGCGTCCAGATGCGAATGTCCGCCGGAAAAACCTATATTGAGAAAGGGGGAATGTGTCAAGTATAGTCAGTGTCCAGGTAGGTGACTATGTCAAATGCCTGTACCAAGGCTGATATGGACAACAATTGTGGCCTATTGTCCCCACATTACAGTTGACAAGCAATGTGACAAATGTGCACAAAATGCACCAAGACTTGCGTCAGTTTCAAAACTTGTATAATACAATTTCTATATTAAAGTTGACTGAACAAAATCTAAATCATTTCAAAAAATTATACAAATGTACTAAAATACTTGTACAAGTCTAGATACAACAAAATACCTATATTACAGATGAAGAGCGGTGTAGCGGCGGTATGCTATGGACAACTTGTGGAAGCGCCTGTACCAAAACTTGTATGGAGCCAAACCCTCGCTGTACGAGGCAGTGCGTGGCACGTTGCCAGTGCCCTCCCTCTAGACCAATCCTGTGGAACGGCCTCTGCATCCCCTTCGACCACTGCCCAGGTAATCCGCCGATATCCTCAAACTCACTGTTTAATTTTTTTTTTTGTTTTACGTTTTACATAATAAATTGAAATATAATCACTTTGATAAAGCACGCCATGGATGGTCCAATCCAGAGAGTTTTACTATATTTTACAGGCATAATTAGGTGATATAGTTATACAGAAGCTGTCACGCGCTATATGTACTGCAATGTATATGCAAATATGCACAATGTATGGACCACGTGATAGCCACGTGATACACCCGATTTTACACAATATTTTCTTTGTCAGTGGCAGAACGCTGTCCCAGTGACAGAGTATGGAAGGATTGTGGGTCAGCGTGCCCGAAGTCATGTGATGACCAGGAACCAACCTGCTCCAAGAAGTGCGCACAGGGATGCTTCTGCCCCGACGACGCACCTTACCTGTCCAATGGCACGTGTGTTGCTTTGGATAAGTGCCCAGGTATTAGGTTTTGTTTCTTTTTCACTTTGAAAAGAATCTTAAACGTTCTATACTCGAGTAATAACAAGACACGTACCATTTATCTATGTTTCTAAATTATGCGCTTCACAAAGTGTGCAAAACACTTTTCTGTTGTTTTGCTGTATTGAATAAAAGTTGTAGGAGCAAAGCGGCTGCTTTTGTTATGGGCAATTAAAACCATCGCCATAGATATATGAAGACATTTGTGACGAGGTTTTCTTACAGGCCGCACGCTCCAGAGTATACTAGCTGTGATCTTGGTAAACAACCAATGTGAAAAATTAATGGCAGTCTACATGACAGATACGTTATTTAAACAATGTATCCAATCTGTAGTTCTCATACGTTGATATCATCGCCAATTTTTCTTCAGCTTCTCCTGCTGCAGCAGCGTGCAAAGGCGGCAAGACGTGGCAGACGTGCGCGTCACCTTGCACCTTCACGTGCGCCAACTACCGCGAGGTCATTTGTGCCGCGATGTGTGTTGAAAAGTGCGCATGTCCGCCAGATACCCGAATTTGGGAAAATGGAACTTGTATTCCAGAGAGCAAATGCCCATAATAATTATTTATCCACTTATTTGTCCAAATATTGTCATTACCGATATGTATGTGACTTGGGTTATGTGGAGGAACACTCATGAAAATGTGTAAAGACAAATATATCTCGAGAGACGAACCTTACACTTTGAAACAAATTGGTTATGATACTGGCAAATGTTATTTTATCATTTGCTAATTATTACCGACCTGCTTCTCACAGTTGTTTAATAGTTTCAGTTCGTAAAAATAAAGCACACGACAAAATGAAAAGGGGTTGCCCTTCCTAAATACTGATTGGTTTTATAGTATGTTGAAAAATGAGCAAAAGAGCAATGCCGTTTTCGTTTTTTTTAAATATCTCACCTAACACAATCTAGGAATGTGATTTCGTTTCTTTCCAGATATATTGTACTGAAGAAGACTGTGGGTCTCTCGATTAAGGGTACTGTCAACTGCAATACATATGAGAACAAATGCAAGTAATTGTATTGTGTATATGAAAAGAAGAATTTCACTTTTTTCTTCAGTTGAAAACCAGTGTAAACACGGAATGATCTACTCCAACTGTACGAGTGAATGCACGGCCACGTGCTATAGACCGTTCCCAAGAGGCTGTGCGCAGTGCGTACCCGGATGTACGTGTCCGTATAACAAACCATTTCTAGATAATGGCGAGTGCGTCGGATATCAGGACTGTTCCAGACGGCACGGTAAGAGATGCCTAATAAATCCGGGCGGCGAACAAGTGGTTTTTCTTATTTCTTTTAAGGAAATAAATCTTAAAATACATATAAGCGGAATATGAACAATGCATTTTTGCAGCTAGGTTTGTCAGTAGGCCTATATAAATCCTTTTTGATGTTTGCCCCCTCTAGTTTGCCCTGAAAATCAAGAGTGGGTTCTGTTTGGCGCGGAGTGCGTTCAGACTTGTGAGGACCGAAAACCCGACTGCGCTAACCGGGAGATCCAGGCGGGGTGCCAGTGCAAACCGGACAGACCTTACATTGAAAGAAACGAAACGGGGCGCTGCTTTACGGCAAGGTTTGTGAATCTGTGAGGCATTTGGGTTCCGTTTCTGGTTTGGGAAGGGTGTTTTTCCTGGTTTAAATCTGTATTTCTTTCAAATTTGCAATAATTGTACTTTTCCATTATTTTGCAGTTACCGGATTTATAACTTGCTTTATCTTCTGCTCTCTTCGTCGCCAGTTAGTGAAAATGTGTCGTATGCCGCATGAAACATACGGACTTGGGTGGGGGTGGGGGTGGGTGGGATTGGGGCGGGTGAAGATGCAGAATGCGATAACTTGGGGTTGATAGCTGATCTCAGATTCAGTCCCTATACAGAAATAATAAAGTGATACCGTGGCGATCATTCATCACTGGTATTTTATCTTTTTTTTTTTCAGTGAATGCGATGCCATTGTAGGCCTCACTACAACCGCCGCGCCAAAGTGTCCAGACATTCAGGTGTGGCACCAGTCAGCCTCCCCGTGCACGCGCACGTGTGACGACCCCTTCCCAACATGCACCAGTGAAAATGAGGCACGGTGCGCATGCCCGAATAGTGCCCCCATTTGGCACGAGAATCAATGCATTCGTGTTGATCAGTGCCCGGGAAAAGTGAAAAATGAGTGTTCCGGAGGCCAGGTATAAATTAATCTCTTAATTTCTGGATAAACGGCGGTTGTCGAGCAGTACAGCATATCCCGTTTACTTACGACACAACGTTACTTTCATAATTGGCTGCCATTTTGAAATGACTTTACATAAGTACCGTGGTTCATTGGCCTTGTATATATATATATATATATATATATATATATATATATATATATCTGTAGTGCTGTATAGGTATGCTGTTGATCTCTGATTATTTTCCCTGTAGGTATGGATGTCATGTGGCTCCAAGTGCACCCAGACGTGCGGAGACCCCAGCACTCTCTGTGAGGGAGGGTGCTACTCCCGCTGCCAGTGTCCCCTAGGTCGACCCGTACTTCACATGGGGAAGTGTATAGGCAGGGATCAGTGTCCCAGTAAGTAGGCAGTGGCGGTCATAGGGTAAAGCGGGAAGTACACGTGTTAGACGTTCTCTGGGCGCTGCTTGAAAAGGGTGCCACAGCGACGAACTGACAATGCATTTAGCGATTACCCTCGTAGTTGAAAAGCACACCCAGGATGTAATACTGGATATATATATATTCAAGTTACGAAAGTGATTTTCAGCTGATTTTATCGTATTATATATCATCTTGCCGTCGTATTATATATCATCTTGCCGAAGTACCAGACCTGCCTGTTATAAATGTACTTTATCCTTTCCTACTCTTACTGTGTTCCAGCTGAACAAGAGAGAATGACCACTCCAGCTCCTGGATGCACTGGCGGCAGAACTTGGCAGAATTGTGCCTCCCCGTGCACCTTCACCTGCGAAACGCGGTACAACTTGGTCTGCGCAGCCGTGTGTATTAAGAAGTGCGCATGTCCAAAACACGCCCCCTTCTGGCACGAGGGAAAGTGTGTAGCGGAGAGTGACTGTCCTTGAATTTAAGGAAAAATGATGAAATGACGTATTTATTTGTTTCATGTAGTGAAACTTCACTGAATCATTGCAACAAGAAACTAATTTTAGCTGATCGAATTTATATCTGAGTTTTGTGCATGAGACCAAACCGTTGTTTGAATGTTCAAATACTTGACATACACCTTTTTTTTTCGTGGTTTGAGCAGTTTAATTTATAAAATTTCCATTTGTTTGTTGTATATTGACAAATATTAACTGTTAATGACAAATGTTTGTTTTTGTCCGTTTTAAGGCAAAAGAATAACACTTGTAGGATGCGATTTGAGTTCATGTCACAGGATGAGGAATTCTAAATAACCAGGCCCATACTGCATTTTTGCCTTAAATATAAAGTATTTTCTTATGGAATAAAACGTTTTTGACACGTTTTTTGTTTGCTTATCTAGGCTACCCAAGGCCAGAAAACATATTTATTGGATTTTTTTTTGAAAACACATTCTTCTTATTTTATATTATTCGGGGTAGTGCCAGATTATACTGAAGAAACCCTAATTGCAAAAGTCTATTTCTTATTAAAATACGTTCCAAAACATTTTTTAAAAATAATGAACGACGTACAAAAGGGGAAGGGGCATGTTCTTTTAATATTGCCCATAATAATGGAACCCATTAGTAATACGACAACCACCAAACTGACACTTAATATTGACACAGTTTGAAAAGAGCGCGAGTAACGACGCGAGAGTCAAGTCAACGGAATGAATGGCGTATCGCAAAAAACCTCCCCTAATGCGCGGGTTTTGGTCTTTTTTTTTATTGTTAAAGAGTTCTGGCTAAAGTCAGGTAAGGAAGATTAAAGGCTGACTAATCGGAGGGGGGGGGGGATTGCCCCGGGATAATTCGTTAAATGTAAATGGACTATATTTTGCTGGTTATTTTAAAATTAGTAAATTAATTAATAAATAAATAAATAATAATGAGAATTGAAGTGATAAATTAATGACAAGAGGAATTAAGTTAAATAATTACTTGATTTATAGATAATAACAATAATAATAATAATATTAATAATAATAAGATTGAGCTGCTCTGACAGGTCTGCACTCTGCGAACGCTTTTCAAGTTTTTTTTTTTCAAATATTGCAATTGCATCCCAAAAACGAACAAAATCAAACACACAGCACGTTAAAATTCATCCAATTTTAATTATCCAAAATCATCCACAATTATTCAGATGAATCTTAATTTAGCTTTACAATTTGATGGTTGAGAAAATACAATACATCCCTGGTAAACTAGAGACTTGAATATAAAAAACGCTGAGTGTAATATGTTGACAGTCACTGTCACCAAGAAGTCAATTAATCTATAAACCATAAAAAAACCACCTAGGAATAGCACAATAGTCTACTATTAAACAATGACACTCTATGGGGTGTATAGAACTTCATTTTTAATCCGTTTGTAAATATTTAATCGGTTCGGATTGATTTTTTTACACACAGGAAGACACGTACTCCTAAGTCGTTTTGTGGTTT